CTTTATATCATATTTCATTTATCTATTCTCTTCAATACTTATATTCTTCCATTCTTGCTTCATATATATCTTTTATATTAATCTTTTCTTGTGTATATTTATTAATAATTTTATATTCTAAGTCTTTCTCTCTATAAGTATATATCTTATATTTTTTTGCTTGTATTTCCTAAGTCAATATTCTTTTCCATACTTCATTTCTTCTTTCATATATATTATTGTATTTTCTGAATTCCATGTCCTTAGTTTCTCTCAATTATATATGTGGTTTAGTTATATTCTATACCATGGATTAATCTGGGAAACCATGTCATTCTTACTATAACACTTCTTATACTTACAACAGTAGCCTGCCACCACCCAGACTTTTATTAGAATATAACATATCTTAGTGGACCGCTAGGTATCGTGCTAGCGAGATTCTAGGCACGTGAGTTACAAAAGTTATTATATTTTTTACTTTTATCCTCTTCACCACTGAGCGGCTCGTTAGCCGCTTGGGTGATCAGTCATGTCTCTGATTACTTTTCCGATGACGCCAAGTTATTTCGGGAAATCAAGAACCAAGCGGACTGTGAAGAGCTGCAGAAGGACCTCTGTGGGCTCCAAGAATGGTCAAAGAATTTTCTGCTGAGATTCAATGTCACGAAGTGTTAGAGGATGCACCTGGGGTGTACCAACGGTAAGGAGGAGTATCATATGTTCCAATGGGATGAAGAAACTGCACTATTTGAATTGAATGTGAGAAGGACCTAGGTGTGTATGTTGACAATGAGCTAAAGTTCTCGGGCCATTGCGAGAAGAAGGTAAATCAGGCAAATAAATTATTGGGTCTTATAAGAAGGTCGTTCAGATATCTAGACGGTCCGTCCCTCGTAACGATCTTCAAGAGTGAAGTGTTTCCCCATCTGGAGTACTGTCATCCTGTCTGTTCCCCTAGATATGCTAGGGACTGTCAGTTGGTTGAAAATGTTCAGAGGAGGGCCACCAGACTGGTGCCTGCACTTCAGCACCTCAGCTACCCTGAGAGATTGGAGCGCCTGTACTTGCCTAGCTTATACTACAGACGGGCAAGGGGTGACCTAATTGAGGTGTATAAGCATCTCAAGGGGCACTACTCAGTCGAGTGTCCTTACTTGGAGCTGGAGGACGCTCGCCCCACAAGGGGTCACAGCTCAAGTTTGAAGAAGCCGCAAGTCCAGAAAACTGTGAGGGCAAACTTTTTCGGAGTGAGAGAGTTGTGAACTCTTGGAACAATCTACCAGGATGTGTTGTGACGGCACCGAGTGTGAGCTCTTTCAAGACAAGACTTGACCAACACTAGAGCAGGTTCAGGTACATTCAGGAGCCGGTGCATGCCCAGTACTTGCCAACAGTGCGTAACAGAGACGTGACCGATCGCCTAAGCGGCTAACGAGCCGATCAGTGATGAAGAGGATAAAAGTAAAAAAGTAAAAGAAGATGGCACGGTGGTGGATGTGAGGCACGAACGGTCTAGGCTGCCCACAGGACATGTAGCACCACAACTTGATGTTCGTGCCGGGAACGGAGAGTTCTTGGAGGGCGAGACCTGAGGGAGATGTCTTGTATGCTGCAAGGTCTTCGTCGTTCTCTTGAGCTACGGCGAGTTGTCTGTAATTCATGGGTGGAGATGAGGGAAGAATGCTGTATATACAACGAGAGAGGGCGTCAGCGATCTCGTTGTGGCTGCCCTTTATGTGTTGGATGTCGCTGGTGAACTCCGAGATGTAAGCCAAGTGGCGAAGAACACGAAGAGTAAGTGTCTGGGAGACTGAAGCGAAGGCGTGGACGAGGGGCTTGTGATCAGTGAAGATGGTGAACTGACGGGCCTCGAGGAAGTGCTGGAAATGCTTGACAACAAGATGTATGGCCAGGAGCTCTCGATCGAAGGCACTGTACTTGAGTTGTGGTGGTTGAAGCCGCTGTGAGAAGAAGGCAATGGGCATGAGAGTTCCGTTGATCTCCTGTTGTAAGACGGCGCCCACGGCAGTAGAAGAAGCGTCTGTTGTGAGAGTGGTCCTGGCATTAGGGGCAGGGTGACCCAGCAGGGTAAGACGTGTGATGTGCTGCTTGATAGTGGTGAATGCTGTAAAAGCCTCTTGAGTCCACATGAGAGGCTTGTGAGACGTCTTGGGGAGTCCCTTGAGAAGATCGTAGAGGGGGGACGAGAACGGTAGCAGCCTGGGCAATGAAGCGGTGGTAGTAATTGACTAAACCCAGGAATTCTCGGAGTTTCTTCGCTGTTTCAGGTGTTTCACCTTCTGTGGTAGGGGTTGCATGCCTCTCGACGAGACTCTGTGACCGAGGAAGTCGATGGAGGAGGCTCCGAAGATGCATTTGGTGGGATGAACTTTCATGTTGTTATTCTGCAGGCGTTGGAGAAGGAGCTGTAGGTGGCGATGATGCTCGGCAGGCGTCGGAGATGCAACGAGAATGTCGTCTATGTAGACAGTGACAAAGTCGAGGTCGCGAAGCATGTGGTCCATGTACCTCTGGAAGGTCTGAGCTGCATTGCGTCGTCCAAAACTCATGTAGGCATACTCGAAGAGACCGAACGGAGTGGTGAGGGCTGTCTTCTGGATATCTGCAGGTGCCACTGGAATCTGATGGAAGACACACTCCAAGTAGATCTTCGAGAAGATGGTCTTGCCGTAGAGTTTGTGGTGGAAGTCCTGGACATGCGGAATAGGGTACCTGTCAGGTTTGGTAACGAGGTTCAGGGCTCTGTAGTCACCACATATCCTCCAGTAGTTGGATGATGACTTTGGAACCATGTGAAGAGGAGATGCCCAGGTACTCTTTGAAGGTCGAATGATGCCGTCTCACAGGTGTCTGTTGAATTCCGCCTTGGCTGCATTCAGGAGCTCAGGGCGAAGGTGGCGAGGGCGTGAGGTCCTGTAATCTCGATGTGGTGGAAGATTCCCGACGTAGGTGGTGGTGGAGAGACTCGGGGTGAGAAAAGTTCCTTGAACTCCTTGAGCAGGGGGGAGAACTCGTTGGACGGCGAGAGGCAGGTGATAGTGTCAGCGACTGCGGCACCTGTACCCCGGAACGTGTGTGCTGTAGGCTCATGGACGAGGCAGAGGTGGCTTTGGTCGACGACAAGCTTGTGGAAGGTGAGGAAGTCGAAGCCAAGGATGGGTTGAGAGATGTCTGCCACCACGAAGGACCAGCGCAGAGTCTTGGGAAGACCAAGGTCTAAGGCGAGGATGTGTGCGCCGTAGGAGGCGATGGGGTTACCGTTAGCAGCGAACAGGTCATATGAGGGTTGCTTTGATGTGTCTTACGGTGAGGGAGGGATGATGCTGACCGATGCCCCTGAATCAACGAGGAATTTCCTGCCGGAGATGCGGTCGGTGATATGCAGCAGTCAGACGCCTGAAGTGACGGAGGTTGTGGCGTCTACCAATCCCCGTCAATGCCGTTTCCCGAGTAGTTGAAGGGAGCCTCACAACGTCTAGTGTTAGCACCGAAGCGTTGATGGTACCAGCAGAGGGTAGGTGCACTGTACTGGGAGTTGGCGGCGGTGTCCGAGGCAGGACGAAGGCGTCGGGGTTGGTAGGACACTGCGTGAGGCAGGAACAGGAGCAGCAGCAGCAGGCATGGAGGAGCAGAACTGCTCGAGGGTGTCCATCCTGCGGTGTAGAGGCTGTAGCAGGTCCCTCATGTGAGGTGTTGCTCGTCTGAGGAGCGTTGATCCGGTTGACAAGATCGGAGGAAAGTGACGGTGTGGCCGCTGAGTTGTCCGCGGCAGCATGGCGCACAGCAGTGTATTCATGGAATACTCTGTCTGCCATGGCTGCGTAGGTCGCCGGGGTTGTAGAGTAGTCCAGTGCGGACAGGGCGAGGCGAACTTCTGCGGAGAGCTTCTGGGCGTGAAGCTGGCGCAGGACAGTGTCAGGAAGCCTGTCTGTGAGGCGGGAATTCAGTCTACGCAGGCGTTGAGTTGCCGAGGGGTAGACTTGATAGTTATGACTTCTGAGACTTGCGTGGAAATTTCTGTGGGCAAGGAACAGACCAGGGCGACGTACTTTTGCTCGTCTTTAGCTGTTGAGCCGGTGAGAGCCGGGGGATGGGGGCTTACAGCGCCGCCAAAACCCCCCCAACTGGGTGGACTCTCTGCGCTCGCCGTGTTCCCCCGCCCACAACTTCTTGGATCCTCGTTTTGATCACTTTCTTCCGTATCCACACCGCAAGGTCTTGTGACTAGTCTTGTCGCCCCCTGGGGTGTAATAATTTAATGAAATAATAATTTAGTGACGTCAGAAATAGGTGGTCTGAATCGAGCATCACTACGCGCCCCGCCGTATGTCATGTGCCTCAATACTGTATCCGGAAATTATCATTTGGTATATTTTTATTTATCGCCATTACCCATTGTCAGCAGTCGGTTTGTTCTATGTTTTGTACATCTTGTCTGTGTTATGACTTTCACTGTACAGTACTGTTACAAAAAAGAAAGCAAAATACTGGAGAAAACCTGCGATATATGGTAGGGTTACTCGCTTCTGACCTGAGGAATGAGGGATCGTACTCGGGACGTAGTATGACAGGCAACCAGTGTACAGCCATCTCCTTCGTATATTACAAAAACAAAATATGCAAATTATGATTTATGACAAACTATACTGTTTTAATAATAGTTTATGGTACCGCCGCATTAAAACTATAATTAACTTCAGTTATATAAGCGAGAAATCAGCCTTGGCCTCTGATTGGCTGAAATCCTCAACTATGTAAATGAGTTGGACGTCACGCACCGGACTATATACCTTTAAGAAATTTCAGGTGTTGTCTTCTCCAAATATGACAATAAATTTCAATAGTCTTTTTTATATTAAATTTAAAATAACAACTAAAATAATATTGGTGAAGTTGTTATGTTTTTATTTTGGAATATATTTGTAAAAGTGTCGGTGTAGTGAGGGCGAGGAAGAAAGGCGAGCACGTGAGGCGCCTCAGTCGGTGAGTGCCAGGTCCTGTGGATATGCGAGGTTCACTCTTGTTCTTTATTTTATATGTAAAGTAGTGATACGTAGAATTTTTAGTGTTGTTATTACAAAGCCAAATTTAAGAGTGTGACGAGGAATTGACTGAAGGTGAGGTGAGGAAACAAGATTGGAGGAGTCATCATGCCTAACGGGCTGGTTAGTAATTTATTTGTTTAACTTGTACATTCTCACCGTGTATGATGGGTCTGTAACTTATATTTGGTGATTTACTATTCAATATCAAGAGGTGTTGTAGAAAATTAGAACTGGATCTCACCCATTTTACTCATAAGACCGCATTGCATCTGGAGGAGATTTAAATAGTCCAGTCGTTTAATACCTGAACACAGCCATTAATAAGTCGGTGTTGTGAGTTACGGAGGTTCTTAAGTCTTGGGTATTGACGAGTTGAGGAACTGCTGATAATTGGTGCATCTTATGTTTTACCGAGGTCCTGCCAAGGTCTCTTAAGTGGTTATGTAGAAATTGAGGTAAAACCCCTGGCTGTCAAGAGTGACACAACTAGAGCTCCGTAGTTAGCAGTGGAGGGTGATAATGGCGGTTAAGGTCGTCCGCTGGAAGTCTTCCATTGTGTGTGGGGTGGTGGGGTGGGTGTTAGGGCACCGGGAAGCCTACACGATAATTATTGGTTTTATTGACGTTCGTGTTTCTTATTTTTACATGAAAACCTATTTTAATGGTGTTATGGCATGTTTTCATCGAATATAAACTTAATTTCCTTGAAAGTGGTTTTCAAGGGAATGACGATTTTACATGTCAGACTGAATTAGCCAAAGAAACAACTTATTAGCCGGAAGGTGTACCCCGCCATATTAAAGTATTTTGGGTAAATTTGCGTAAGTGGGCCAAGTCTTTTCATTAAAACACGTTTTTGGCTTCGTCCAGACTATTTTAATTATTCTTTTCATGACATTTCCGTCGGAAATTTATATTTTTGGAGTTTTCAAATCCATGAAATGGTGAATTTATAGTTTTACAACGGTTATTTTTCGCCGTTATTAATGTTTATACAAACTAAGACAATTTTCTTGGATATTTCCAACCGGAAATTAAGGATAACATTAATTTTTCAATATTAAATTTGGGGTCAATTTATATTAATGCACCGGTCTTTATTTTTATATTAAAAATAGGTTTTCCCTTAGTATTTGAGGAGTTTCGAACAAGTTTGATATTCATTAACTCCTGATTTTTTTAAGTCTCCCCTCCCCTCCCCACCCCACCCCTCCCACAATCATAACGGAAAAATGTATTTTTCGAATAAATCGCAAATAAAATGCCAACTAGCCAACAAAACCTAACCAGGGTTGCACCTCTTCCGTTTTTCTATTCGGCTGAAGAAAACTGGTGACAGCCAAATGTGTTGTTCACGCAGTGTACAGTACATCGATTACACTTTGGACTGTTTTCTATAAAAAATGCCTCGCTATTTTTCTGATGAAACTCACCAATTGATATAAAATAATCTATCACAATGTCAGCACATCTCTTCCATCTGTTCAGCCAGGGTCTGACTAATTACCCAAATGTAGCCAAATATAGCCGGAATGAAGTCAAATAATGGTCCTACATGAATAAATCGGACTGCTAATCACTTCTCGACTTGTATTTGGTGTCAGAAAGTCACAAAAAATTGGAAAACTTTAATCTGAGATAATAGATCGCGTGCATGTACCGAGGGAGCGAGGAATTACCCAAATGTACCCAAATGTAGTCGCAATGAAGTCAAATAATGGTCCTAGATGAATAAATCGGACTGGCAATTACTGGGCATGCACTGGCTCCTCAATGTATCAGAACCTGCTGCTGTGCTGGTCAAGTCTGGTCTTGAAACCGCTTGCTTGGTTCCTGTCTTTAGTACAAGCTAGGCAATTGCTGGTGCTCTAAGCTCTGGGTTGCTGAAGTGCAGACACCAGTCTGGTGGCTCTCCTCTGGACATTTTCAACCTACTGACAGTCTTGGGGACCAGACGGGGTGACAATATTCCAGGCGGGGAAGTGCCACTCTCTCCAAGAGTTACGAGGAACGGACCGTCTAGATATCTGAAGACATTCTTATAATACATAATAACTGATGCTTGATTCACCTCCCGACAATGGCTCGAGAACTTCAATGCATTGTCAACAAAAACACCCTGATCCTTTTTTGCATTCGTTCTATTAATGCAGTTTCTTCATCTTGTTGGGACTTGATACGCCTCCTTACTATTGGTTGTCCCAGGTGCATCATTTTACACTTTTAATATTGAATCTTGGCAGCCATTTCCTCGACAATTCTTGAAGTTTGGAAATATTTCTGCAGCTCATCAGTCAGTTTGATTATTAATTTCCCTAAATAACTTAACATCGTCCGCAAACATTTGTATGGAGGTGTGTATAGCTTCTGGCATGTCATTTATGAAACAAACTATCAAACAGTGGGACCAATACACTGCCCTGTGGTTCTCTGCATTTCACGGGTACACATGACGATTTCATACCATTTAATCACCACACACCGCTTGCGATCAAACAGTCTCCGATCCACGCAAGGACACTTCCCTGAACCCTGTACCCTTCCAGTTTAATTTTCAGCCTTTCTTGGGGTACGCTGTCAAAAGCCTTGGCAAAATCTAGGTTTATATTGTTGACATTGCCACCCTGTTCCACAATTTGGGTCCAAACATCTGGTACCGTGAGTAATTGTTACACAGGAGCTTCCTGGCGTAAGTGTTGGCAATCCTTTACAAGCTTGTTTATTAGATGTTCCATCATGGCATCTCTTATAATGCTCTCAAGTACTTGACAGGCTCACTGGTCTGTAATTGTTATTGAAGTGATGATCGCCATTTTTGAAAATAGGACTCGCATAAGCCAATTTCTAGTCACTGGAGGCCTTTTTGCTCATCCATGATTTTACAGAACCGGATCTTCAGGGACTCCGCATGCTTGTTGCACAACTCTTAGCACTGGGATGCACCAGGTCAAGGATGGGATTCATGAACCTATAGCTGACAATTTTTTCTTAAAACCCCTTCTGAGAACAAAGAATTGGTGCTGTCGACCCATCTTTCCTTAAATGCAGGAAGGTGGTTTGCTTCCTTTCCTGTGAACACCAAGGAAAAGAAACTTAAACGCCTAGGCCTTGTCCTGGTCAGAATCTGCGTAACTACCATCAAGCCTCGGGTCCGATACACCTACTTGGGTATTTAATTTTGACTTAGTGTAGCAGTAAAATGCCTTGGGTTTGACCTTGCAGTTTGCCACTAGAACTCTTTTATTAGCCCTTCTACACTGACTACTTGGTTCCTGGATTTGGCATACATCCTCCTGTGCTTAGTTTGTCCTAACCCATGTCTCGGGTTTGAGTTTTCTTCTTTGTCGATTGCCGCACGGTTCATGTGGAGCGGTATTCTTTTTTTCTTAGGGGCACTGGGTTTGGTCTTGGGTATAATTTTGTTGATCAAATGGTTCACCTACTGGCTATGATATTCAGCATAGCATTCTTAAACCTTTGTGAGGCAGGCCAGTGGATACCCCTCATCTCCTCCCTCATCCCGTTGTAATTTCCCTTGTAATATTTTGAACCTTAGCCTAGTTTTGTCGTGAACCAAGTTCAGTAGACTTGCAATTTACGCGTATTTTTCTTATGTGGCTTCAACTAACTGTATATGCGAATTACCCTGGGGGTTAGGTTACAATTTCAAATTTCAAGCTCAAAACTTAAAAATGGGTTGCAAGCGCACCAAACGCACCACCCTGCCATCCCACTGGCCACCTGTTTCAGTTGCTGACGCTTTGCTGCGAGTGCATCATCGGAGTAACAGCTGCCTCTTGTGTGTCAAATTTAGTGTGCTTAAACCTCTCTTATACTCTCTCATAATGCCCAAACACAAGCCAACCACTGCCTCTGGTCAGCCAGCAAAGAAATAACGCTCTTTGATGACCTTGGAAGAAAAAGTGGCTGTGTTAGATTTGATTAAAGGCGGCATGTAGATCGCTGCTGTGGCGCAAAGGTACGGACGGAACGAATGAAGTTTGAGATCTATCAAGATTTGGGAGAGGGAAATTTGTGAAACCGTGTCTACAAATGCCGCATTTACTGCTAAGGTGACTAGCCAGGTTTGAGACATAACTCTAGTGAAGGTGGAGATGGCATTAAACATCTGGGTTGAGGATATGAACCTGAAACGTGTTCCCATCGACGGCAGCTTGCTCGGGGAGAAGGCACCGAGTCTTTATGACCACTTTAAATCCGGGGTTCCTGAGAGCGAAGTATCCACTGGCTCGTGAAGAATTTTAAAGCCAGCGCTGGTTGGCTCAACAGTTTCAGGAAGCGTTTCAACCTGAAAAATATTACTCGCTAGCAAATCGGCATCAGCTGATGAGGCAGCTGCATGGCTGTTCCCTGAAGAATTCAAGAAATGAGGAAAATGGATATCTTCCAGAGCAGGTCTTCGACGCTGATGAAACAGATTTGTTTTGGAAGAAAATGCCAACCAGAACCTACATTTCCAAGTCTGAGAAGCAGGCCCCCTGGTTCAAGGCTGCGAAGGATCTCGTCACCATGCTTCTGCGGCAACGCAGCAGGGCATATGATAAAGCCAGACGTGATTTATAGGTCTGCCAACCCTCGTGATCTGGAGGGAAAAATAAATCATTCCCGTGTGACAGTCAGAACAAGAAAGCCTGGGTGAGAGCGGACGAAGAAGGCAGCAACGACGATGAAGAGGAGGAGCCAGCTTGTTGGGTTATACACAAGTTTAGTGAAGTGTTTCAGGTGGCCGAGCACTTGAAAAACTTAGTGTATGTGTATGACCCCCTTGGAGTGCAGCATCAACTTCTCGGAGGTCTTACAAGCCTTATGGTTTGGTATAAGAATGTGTTCCAGCAGCTTAAGAAACGACAGCTTCCCATCACCATGTTCTTTAAGAAAACTTCGGCATCAACATCGTCAGCAGATTAGCCAACGCCCTCAACTTCTCAGTGACCTTGAGCTTTCCACATCCTCCCCTGTATTGTTATCTGAGTTTGACGATCCCCAGAGGTGGGAAGGGGATGAATAATCTCGAAATGCATGTCTGTCTACATACAGGTAATGTCTGTGCTCTATTAATGCTGTTATGCACTTGTTACAGAATGTATTGCATTAAAGTGGTGATTTAGGAGTTCTTGTGTATATGTACATACATATATTGTGATTTAAGGGCAATTTAGGGGATTTTTAGGCGTTTCTGACTTGACGCATTTGTGGGCTTTGTGCGTTTTTGGCTTTACACCGGGTCCCATTTTTGTAACCCCCTGCGTAAATCGAGTCGACTGTAACTTAAATCTGACGGACAACATTATGTGGTGACTGGTGCTAACTGTTCCAGCTTGGCCACCTTACACTAATCGTTTGCTATGAGTTTCTGTTGCTTGGGTGTTTGCTCCCCTCTGTAATGAGTCGGGTCTTTAGCATATGGGAACAGAAAATTATCTCTTGGTTTCTTCAAAGAGTAGTCGGGTTATTAAAGTTAATTGGCGGGGTCTCCTTTCTCCAGTCGATGTTGCCAAGATTGAAGTCCCTCAGGACAAGGTGGTGGCTAGGATTGAGCACTGTGGTAATGTCTATTAAGGTTCTTAAATTTCTTTGGTTTAATAAGCTACTGTTTGAGGATCTGTAGATACACCTGACAAAAAAAAAGTCTCCCCTTTAATTTAATTTTACACCACTTGAACTCTTCAAATACATTGACATAATTGTCTCGACTTTTTCTACACTTAATAACTCCACAGTAAATGCCTTAACAATTGAACAAATTTCTTTTCAGAATGACCTGACAGACCTTTATGGGTCACTGAACATTGGTGGCACGGAACATGAAGAGAGTAATAAGGATGCAATCCTGCGGATCAACTCCTTTCTAAACAACTCCTTAGATCTTCGTAGTCTGGCTTCAGAACATTCTCGTAAAACTTCAATTGGTAAATTTATTGGTTTTCTTTTGTGTTAATACAAGGTGGAAATATTGTAAGTTATTTCATGTACAGTATTTCTATACAGTAAGTACTGAAAGCAAGGTATTGCCGAGTGTTCAGATCCAACCTAGAAATAAGAGTGGACTGTACTCTTGGTTACTGTACTGAATATGAAAAAGATTCAGTTGCTAGCAATTTATACTCCCATAATGAGAATTGACCCAGGAAAGTGGGGGTAGGTAGAAAAAATCTGATGTGATCTTTTCTGAGAACTATTGCTTGTACAGTGGTCCCCAATTCGTTCCAGAAGGTCGTTCGTTAACCGAAACCATTGTTTCAATGGGACTTTGAGGTGTGTATGTAGAAGACTCCTGGTTGATGATGATGATGGGAATTAGAAGTGGGGGTGGAGGAGAAATCACCCCATGCTTCATGCCATCATTTAACCCATAAAATTTTAAGTTCACTAGGTGTAATTCAAGATTATTTTCTTTAAATCAACACTGCACTCCACTATATATTGTCAATATGTAAAATAAATTTCAGAATAACCAATAATTGTACTGTACAAACGTAAAATTAGTTTTATGTTCAAGAGTCTCAAGCAAGATGTTACATCTACTGACCAGAGATATAAACTGACGCATGTTCGGTGAGTTTAGTGGCTGTTTGGCGCACTAAAAACTAGTTTCCTGTACTGCAATTATGTTAAATAATTGTTAAAATGGCACCTGTTGCCAACATTCTTTCTCCCAAAAACTCTCTGCTCATTTTCCTTGACCCCTTTATCAGATAAAGATTTCACATTCAATGATAGTTTTTAAGAATGTCTATGAACCGATTTCTTGCCTGAGAAGTTGACTATTCATAATGCTTGGGTTGTACAGTACACCATTTGCAAATAAATGTAAACAAAATTGATTGGTGTGTAGCAAGGCTGGCATTACGGTACGGTTGATATTTAGTCAGAATGTACGGTACAGAATTACGGTACGATATTTTCCTTAAAGTACGGTACGGTACTATTTCGGAATGGAAAAATGAGCAAAATTCCGTACCGTACCCCAGGCTTAAAAACATGATCATGCAATTATTAACCCCTTGAGGATTGTGACGCATTTTGACAGTTTATTCTGGTTATCATTAGACACTTATGCAGCTTAGGAAGGATTTATGGGAATAAACACTAGACTAGCTGAATTAGCCATCTGTCTATTGTCTTTCATATACCCTTCACAAATTGAATAAAATCATCTAACAATAGTCGGAAAAGAGAAATGTCATCGATCTTCAAAGGGTTAATGCGTTGGTGCCTTCAGTGAGTGATCAATACCGTCCGCCAGCTGGTAGTCTGGTACTGTTAGTACTGATCACGTTGCGTCACGCCAACTATTCATGTCGTATAACTTTAGTGTCTCCAACTCTCCTTCCATTGTTGGGAGGGAGCAGTCATCCGAGGCAGGCAGGCAGTAGTAGTAGTAGTAGTAGTAGTAGTAGTAGTATCAATATTATTGATATTTTTATTATTACAGTATTATAAAAAATTTTCATATTACAATTTAATGTCTTCTGTGTATAGGCTAATACAATTTATCTCCAGTGTCCAATCAAGTTCAACACAGCACATTTACATCTATAGTCACTTCGTAATTGTTCCTTTTCAAATCCACACATGTACTCGAATACATTGTTCACAAATTGAGAATTATTTTGATTTAATTACATTTTGCCGACTGTACGATAAAAGTACGGAATTACGGTACGGTATTTTTTCCGTACTGTACGGTACGGAAAAATAATGGGGATGCAGTACGAAATTATGGTACAGTATTTTAGCCGGGTATGGAGTACGGAAAAATATTCCGTACTGTACTACCGGCGTTTGGTGTGTAGCAACTGGCTTGATATATGCTGCATGAATATTAGTGTTTTACCTAGTGTAAATTTGTCATCTTCGTTGATTTGTAATGGTTCCCTCGCTTTAAAACAATAACAATAATAATTTGGCTTCAATTCACTGTAATGTGTGTGCTTTTCAGTAAAGCCGAGGGGCAACCGCAACCCACAAAAAATTTAGTTGCGGCTTAAAGCTCCTGATGTCTTTTCTCTTGTACACTTAAACCTCAATAGTTTTGATTAGTGTTAATGAATTTGACCTGACAAGTTTTTTGAACTGAAATGTTCAATTTACATGAAAATATTTTGTAACTGCTTTTAACCATTAACTTTTTTCTGTTTAACAGATGCGTTATTGACAGAACTGATGAATGGCACAGATGGGAACAGTGGTGATATTGGACCCAAGAAAACTGGCCAGGTAATGGAGTTCTTGTTGTATCACGTGTTAAAATATGTAGACCTGTAGTACTTTCATGTTATTTTAAAGCTAATACAGTATTAGCCATTTGAACATACCAGGTACATTACAGTAAAGCCTAGAATAATGACGGTAATGTGTCCTCCAATATTGCAGTGTAAGGTGAATCATTAATTACCATTAAAAGAAAGCAATAATAATGAGATGTGTTCTAAAGTCTGACTTTTTCATATCTTTTGTGGCTTTTTGCCTTCTTTTCCCCCAAAACAATAAAATTTATAAAAAATGCAAACTATATTCTTTAAATAATGTTTATGAATGCACCTTAAAGTTATACAATATAAGTCAATAATAATATGGTCACACAAGAGATGGGATGCCATTGTTGTTGTCAGTGTTTACACTCATAAACCCAGTTATCCATCTGAAACTTCAAGAAAATAAGTCCCTGGTTGTAGCTGTAGTAAAATTAATGTTAAAAATTTAATGCGAGTTTTAAGTAATGTTATTTAATGTTAATAAATGGACAATAGAAGTAGCTAACCACTAATGGTAAAGGAAAAAAGCGAGATGGATTGTGCAACTCCAGTAATATGCAAGTGCATACATGTGAAGTCATTTCTCTACATAAGAATATGAAAGCAACACTTATTACTGTTCATATAGTTTTCAAATAAGACTTACGAATGTAAGACAAAATTTCTACTCGCCAATGGTGCAACTAGCAGACCTATTGTTAAGGGATAGGAGGAACAATGGGGATGTTTCGAGCGCAGGAACAACGTAAAACTTTATGGAGTCCCTGAGAGCCAGGCGGAGAGTAGGGAAACCCTATACGTTGAAGTTTTCGAATATTTGTACGGAGGTTCTGAAATAGCCATCCCACCCTCCATATGTGAGGAGGCTGCAACATAGCAGGAGGACATGCCTCGGTCTCTCAGGATCACACTAGTGAGTGAGGAGGAGAAATGCGAAGTTATTTGTCAGGCAATAAACTTGGCAAGGAGCGGGACATTTTGGGATGTATTCATTCACCCAGATCGCACGATATTACAGAGGGAACAGCACAGGAAGCTCATGCAGAGCTTGAAGCAGAGGAGGGAGGAGTCGAGGTTGAGAGGGGATGGGTTTACATGGATTATATCCTGGGGGAGGATAGTGGAGGCGAGTGCACCAGCGCTGAGCCAGAGGGCAGCGGTACACCCCTCCACCCGCTTTACCTCCCACCCAGGAAGAGGTGAGCGCCGTATAAACGATGACATATCGAACCTCACCCTGCAAAAGACAGTGTACTTAGCAAATGCTGCAGCTGCTGAGAATGGGGGGAGGGGGCCGGAGTTACTACCAAGTGCAGAGACGTTACCGAGAACAAATTCCTGCTCGAATGTCCTATACACTAATGCTGACATAACTCGATAAGAGGAGTTTGAAACACTACTGAAGGTACACCAACCCGATATAGTAGTTGTAGAACTGTTGTACAAGAATAGAAGCCACCCAGAGGAATGCAAGTTCTGTATTGTCGGATTTGACTGATTTACAAACCTTTCTCGAGTAACTTGCAAGAGGGGTGTGGGTATCTGCTCGGCAAGACCTTGGAGCAAGCCAGGTGAGGGTACAGGGAGACTGTTTTTGAAGAATCAGTGGTGTAAAATTAATTTGAGGAGAGATGTACTTATTGTCGGGTGCATCTACAAATCCCAAACTGCAGCTTGCCAAACCAAAGCAACTTAACTTGATAAACAACCCAGCGAGGCTCGGCCCTAGCCACCTCCTTATTGAGGGAGACTAACTATAGCGACATCGACTGTAGAAATGAGCACATGCCAAATGACTTGAATAACCCTGCTACTCTTTTTGTAGAAACTCGGAGATAATTTTCTGTTCCCAACGCATTACAAATGGAAGCAAACACCCAAGCCACTGGACCTCATCATAATGAACGAGGAGGGTATGGTGGCCAAACTGGAACGTCTTGCCCCAGTTGGCACCAGCCACCATGTAGTGCTGTCCTTCACAAATACCAGGCCAAGGTGCAAATATTAAAAGGGAAATTTCGACGGGATGAGGAGGAGATGAGGGGTATCCACTGGCCTGACTCCCTAAGGCATAAGAGCATGAATGCTACACTAAATATCCTAGCTAGTAAAGTAAACCATTTGATCGAGAAATACATACCCACGACCAAACCCAGTGCCTCAAGGAGTACAAGGAGACCGCTTCACATGAATCGTGTGGCGGTCGACAAAATAAAGAAAATCCTGAAATTAAAGACGTGGGTTAGGTCGATGATTGGCAAGACAGGAGGATGCATGCTAGGGCAGAGTGTAGAAGGGCTGAAAAGGAGTTCCAGAGGCTGGTTGTAAGCGTGGTCAAGACAAACCCAAAGACAAAATTAAAAATGCGAGTAGGAGTATCGGATCCGAGGCTTGATGGTGGTAGTTACGCAGAGTCTGATCAGGACAAAGCCGAGGCATTGAACACCTTCTCTACCTCGGTGTTCACAAGAGTGGATGCAAACAATCTTCCTGTGTTTGAGGACAGGCAGTATGACAGCACTGACCCATATTGTGTTCACAGAAGGTTATTAGAAATACTGTCTAAACTAAAGGTTCATAAGAGTCCTGGACTGGACATGGTGCATCCCAGAGTGCTAAGGGAGTTGTGCACTGAGCTAGCCGAGCCCCTGAAGATCCTTTTCTGTAAATGCCTGGCTGAGCAAAAGGTCCCCCAGTGATTGGGAAATAGCTTCTGCGAGTCCTATCTTCAATAACTATAGACCAGCGAGCCTAAAAGGCATATGTGAATTATTTGAGAGCATTGAGGTGCCATGATGGAACCTTACTACTAAACAACCTTGTAAATGATTGCCAACATGGTTTTATGCCCGGGTGCTCCTGCTTGACAATTATCCATGGTAATGGATATTTGGACCCAAATTTTGGAACGGGGAAATATCGACAATGTTTACCTAAATTTTGCCTAGGTTTTCGACAGTGTACTCCCATGAAAGGCTGAAAATTAAACTGGAAAATTGTGGGATTTGGGGAATTGTCCTAGCGTGGATAGTAGACTTTCTTCACGACTGCAAGTGGGGTACCACAGGGTAGTGTATTGGGCCTGCTGCTGTTTGTTTCATAATGACATGCCTGATGCTGTACACTCATCCATACAGAAGTTTGCGGATGATGCCAAGTTATTTTGTGAAATTGAGAACCAAGTGGACCGTGAAGAGCTGCAGAAGGAATTTAACTGCTACTTTATTGGGAATATTTTCTGAATTTTCCGGAAAATGTGCCCCTTGGAAAATCTCTTCCAAAGCCGTAATTTTCCAGAAAATTACGGCTTTGGAAAAGATTTTCCGAGAATTTTAATTCCGGCTATCGGAGAGTTCCAAGTTTGAGGGATTCCGGCCAATGGAGTTATTACTGTACGTCTTTATGTATAGGTCATAAGCATTTTTCACATCCCTGATCATATTAATGCTTTGTTCTGTTAATAGATCCACTTCAGCAAAGGTTCATTGCTTGCTCCATATAATATCCACAGACCTCTCGCCTTTTTCGTATCGTTTTAACGTCTAGTTTCTTGGCTAAGCTTGTACACTTTCTTTTGGCTTTTGAACTGACACTACTATCACTTGCTCTCTTGCTCATGTTGAATTGGGTTGCAAAAATGCTGTAAGAGACCAGAGTTTTTCTCCTTTTCCTGTTCAGATGCGTGAAAACAAAAGGCCCGCCAAGCTGTGACTGTTAATACTAGTGATGCTGGCGTCACCACTCGCAAGCCCGGCAGCCTCTATGAACTAGGCATGGTTTTTTTAGTTGTATAATACATATTGGAATTTAGTTATTTATATGAAAAAGTAATTTTATTTAGTTTTTGTTTTCGTCGTAATACAAAAAAAAATACCGTAATGGTGTAAATTGAATTGGGTCCTAAATTAACCAGGGCCTTAAATATGAAGCGTCGTTATTGGAGGCTTTCCTGTATATGAATTGAGTGACTTTATGGAAGGTGACTTGTGTGGAAATATGTTCAGAGAGTATCAGTATGGTATAATGAAGACGTTAAGATAAAGAAAATAGTGAGGAGAAATTTTAGGGATCTAGTTTGATAAAAAAAATGGAAGATAAACAAAACATTGAATGTGTTCTGAGAAAATGATGAAATTGAGAAGGTGGACGAGGATTTTGGGAAGAGTAAATATATCAAGGGAAGCTAATCTGTAAAGATAAAATGCAAGAAGTATTTACCAGGAAAGACTTTTAAATCATCATAGTTTTCTAGTTCAACATTTGCGTGGGTTAGCTGTGATTACTTAATGGCAGCTTTTCAAGCTGCATGGCCTCTAGCAGTCTCTTAAGTTATTAACTTTGTCATGTCTTGCCTCTCCCTATGTCATTCTTGTGCCCAACTCTGGCACACCTCCCCTCCACATTTAGGCTCCTGTACAGTCCACAAAGAAATATTCTGCACCTTTATGGTGTTCTACAATGACACTGGACCAAGAATTCTGAACAACACTCATTTATGTGGGTGATTCCTGTTAATTTTGCTGTATTGGCTATATGTGATATAAAAAAAGTAGATCATACTGGTTATAAATGCTTCACACAACCAGAAATACCAACCTTACGAAAGTAACATGGCATCAATCAGTGATCGTTGCAAAGGCCATCAGACCTAGTTGTACAGAAAAATTTTTTTTGTCGACTGTACCACTCCACTCTCTCATCCATTCTCTCCACATCAAACCATCTAAGCCTACCTCTATGCAGAACTTTGCCAGTATAATACCCAGCTACCTTCCTTTAAGTTTGAACAGGGTCTACTGTCTTATTACAAATCCATCTTGCCATTCTCAGTTCAGCTTTCCCAGTCCTGCCTGTTTCCTCATCTGCCTGTTTCACCGACGTACAGCATCTCGCTTCTCACACCAGCTGCATACATTTTGTGAAGTCCTCTTCCCACCAATGAAAGCTGCAGTTCACTGTACTTCCTCAGTCACCGAGTCTTGCACCGAAGCAGAATTCGGGCTCCTCACCAGCATTGATCATGTCACCCAAGTAACAGAACTCAAAGACACAGACCAGGGACATATCCCCAATGTCAATATTCTCTAGCCTTGCTATGGGTGCATGGTTACCTGCACATGCAGAACATAGTTGGCAACATCCAGTAATCTGCCATATTCTCCACTGCACCTCTTTTGTACCCTTCTTCCACACTTGCTGCACATACAATATAGAGTTTGCTGCCAACACCTTTCTTACACAGCATATGACCACTTTCCACTATGGGACCCTTAGTCACACACCTCAATAAAATCTTTTGTTTTGGTCACATTCACTCTCGGGTCCGTAATATTCCATCCTTCCACTTTTGAAATTTCTTCACTGACTGCCCCTCCAGTAGTCATCACCAGCATACAACTCCCAGTCCTTAAGTCCTCAGATATGTCCTGCAGCACCATGATAAACAGGGTCTCAAGATAGGTGTATGCAGCTAGAGCATCTTGGAACTAAAACTACTTGTTTAAATAACCATGCTTGTAAAATTACTTATTAACAATGGCTTCTTTGGCTTCAATAAGATTTCTTTTGATCATAGCCATATATGATTTGCTATTTGCATCAAACTTTGGTCAAGTATCTCAACCATAAATTGTGGTCCAACACAGCACTGGTCATGGAGTTTCCTTTTTGAGTTTTGGAGATTTTCCAGATGATACTAAGCACCTTTTCTTTCTCTACAGCACTTAGTACAACCATTTTGTATTTGTTTAGAGACTATTTAGGGCAGTATGCCTTGTTTGAATCGACAATGCTTTACTTTTATCCTCTTCACCTCTGATCGGCTCGTTAGCCGCTTGGGCGACCGGTCACTTCTCTGCTACGCACTGTTGGCAAGTACTGGGCATGCACCAGCTCCTGTATGTACCTGAACCCGCTCCAGTGTTGGTCAAGTCTTGTCTTGAAAGAGCTCACACTCGGTGCCGTCGCAACACTTTATGGTAGATTGTGAAGAAAGAGTACTGCAGACAGCACAAACCTGCCATTTGCTGGCGGACCTAGACAATGTCGAGTGATGATATTTGGAGGGAATTTTTAATCTGAAAATCAATTGGGGGGTGGAAACGGTTTACATCTAATAATGTATTTTTAGATTCCTGATATTCAAGTGTAGTTGATATCCCAATTTAATTGTGTGAAGCATGATAAAATGTATCCCATATCTGTATTCCTCTTTCCATTACAGAGTGGGAGTCCCAGTGTTGATTCCAGTATTCCTCTGAGTCGTCTACTGGCTCAGAGCTATAGCTATAGCTCTGACAGTACAATTTCACCACATGTTCCACTCACACCCAGTACCACCTCACAGGTTAGTGATCCTTCAATTACAGCATAGATTTTTTCTCCCTTCAGCATAAGTGGACATTTCGTCACCTGACTGTTGAATACCTTGCTGATATTTATTAAATTATATTTTGGAGGTGGGAGAAGCCATGGGTTAGGCTATGTTAAGGTAGGTTACTTTTGTACTGAACCAGTGATGAAATGTCCAAGAACCATAAGACATGGTAGGAGTGAGTATAGCCAAGTGAAGGTGTGTGTGAGAGACCAGGTATTTTGTGTATACTTGATGCTTAGAAGACAAAATATCATTGATTTTATATCGGTTTTGATTTTATATGAACCCAGTACCTTCTATAAATATAGTACTTTCAATAAAAAAATTCTGGATATGTACTTGTATACTGAATACAGTGGTCCCTCCCTCAGTTAACGAACACAATTCGTTCCAGAGGGTCGTTTGTTAACTGAATCCATTGTTTCAATGGGATATTGGGTAATTGGTTCCAGCTCAAAGAAAAGTACATACAAAATAAAAATAAAAATGCAGTAAAGTACGCTTACTTTGAGGTGTGTATGTAGAAGGCTCCTGGTTGATGATAATAATGATGGGAATTAGAAGTGGGGGGGGGGGTGGAGAAGGAAGGAAGGAGAGAAGGAAGTGGGGGTGGAGGAGAATCATTTTAATGCTTCTTGGAAGGCGAGTTACCTTCCATAATCATGTCAGGAACCTCTGGACTGACAGACTCTCCAACAGTAAAATCCTCTCCTTTTTGATGAGGAACACCGAGGGGAAGTATCTTTCTCACGCTGCCTTTTAGAGAAGAAACTGTCAATTGTTCTTTGTGTGGCATTTCTCCTCTGATCATTAGCTGGTTCTTGGAGGAGACCACTTTGTCCTCCACAGTACATCAGGGTGTCTTGAAGCCAGTTTCCTGAACATCTCCCAGTGGTGAACAACATCTTTTAAGTCTGAATACATATGGTCATCACTTTCCTTTTCCTCCTCACCCACTGTCTGTTTCTAGCATCTCATCCAGTGGTTTCAAATCTTCAGGAGTAAGTTCCTGCTCATGAGACATCACAAGGTCTTCAACATCATCCTTCTCCACTTAGAGTCCCATTGACTGACCATTGGACACAATCTCCTTGTCCAACTATTGTTTCTTCCTCAAAATCATGGCTGCTGTTGGCCACAGTGCTTTCCATGCAGAATTTGGGGATTGAATGGAGACTTCTTGCCATGCTGACACAATCAATTTTACAGCCTCCAGGATGTTGTATTGCATCTTCCAGAACTGTGCTAGTGATAGATTAGGATCATTGGTAGTTGCCTGATGACAGCTGAACATTTTCTTCATGTACAGCTTCTAAGTTGCTGATTACATTTTGGTCCATTGGCTGCATAATTGATGTAGTGTTGGGAGGCAAATAAAGCACTTTGACAAAGTCAAATCAGCCTCCAAAGTGCTGGCAAGTTCAGGGTCATGACCAGGGGCATTATCCAGAAGAGCCTTTAAAGGAAGTTTATTGGTGGTTAGGTAACTCTTCACAGAAGGGCAAAACACCTCAACTGCCCATTCATTAAAGAGCTGTCTCGTTACCCATGCCTTACGGTTTGACTTCCAATAAACTCCAAGTTGTCCTCTTGCCGCCTTTCGTTGCTTGAACTCCCTGGGCTTCTGTACATACTCAAAGAATTTGTAATATTTATGTTAAAACTTTTGTAACTGGTAATTTTTACCTGTGCTGTTGAGCTAATCCAACAAGATACTGGTTGGGCTGGTAAGATATTTCATGTGGCTGATTGAGAAAAATGCAATACTTTTTTTTCAGATGTGTGGGCGTAATAATGTGTTCAGTTACTTGGATAATAGCCCACACTCGAGTGGCTCAAGTGGTTCTCGTTACTCGCCAGCACCTGCAAGCATCACACACCAAATGAGAGCTTCCAATACCAGGTATACATAAATTATATTTTTGGTGTCTGTACTGTGTATGGTAGGAATCATTCATATGTCATTGATCTATGTATAGTCAGGGTGATGAGTTCACTTCTGCCCAGAAGGAAGTGGCACCGACCTGAAATGAGATGAAATTGTCGGGATAAGTCAGTTCAAAGACTTGTTCCCGTGACTTGTTTTCACCATGGCGAGCGAACTTTTGCCCATGACTGTACAGTACTTGAAAAGGAAATAAAGGTTACAGGACTGCAGCCCAAAAATATTCCTTTGTGACATTTTACCTGACTGGATTTCACTGCCAGACCACTTGGATGCCAAACCAACTTGTCACACCACCCAATGCATCTAACACTTTCACTTACCTTTATACTTTTCACCATTGATCGGCTCGCTAGCCGCTTGGGTGATCGGTTACGTCTGTTATGCATTGTCGGCAAGTACTGGGCATGCGCTGGCTCATGAATGTATCTGAACCTGCTCCAGTGCTTAACCAGTCTGGTCATGAAAGAGCTCGGCAAACATTTGTGTGGAGGAGCGTATAACGTCAGGCATGTCATTTATGAAACCAACAAACCACAGCGGGCCCAATACACTGCCCTTAGTGCAGGAGGAAACCAGAGTACTGTACCCAACTTGCTATGGTAGTGTCACTGGATAACACCCTTCTATGTCTTGGTCAGGAATTATACACAAGACACAGGGTGAGAGGAATTACCTGTTGGCACCATGTTATAATTGCCTCATTATATATTTGCTGCTTCATGGACAGTCTTCTGCTTAGATGTTGGCTTTCATAATAAGAATACATTAGTGTTCATAAATCAGAGGTGTATACAGCTCATTAGGTTCTGTGGGGCTTGTTGGTTACTTCAAAATGTCATAACCCAATTGTTCTTGGACCTTTATTTTACCTTCAGTATTCCTAGTTCCAAGTCTTTTCTATTAGCTCTTATACCATATGCTGCAACTCATCCCAGAACTTTATTTTTATTTTGTATTTATTTATTTTTTGGGGGGCTGTGGTGATAATCAGTAGAAGTCACTTGATATGAAGGCCAGGTTCCATTCCTAGATTGACAAAAGAAAAGAATGACCAGTGCAGTGAATTCTGTTCAGTGGAAATGATGCAGGTTGAATTGGAGTGGTGGCCTAAAGGTTTTTTTTACGGGGCTAATTTATGAATGCTTGCGAAAGTGATCTACCTGTACTCTATACAGTAATAATTACTGTACAGTATCCTGTGCACGTAATAACTTGAGATACTTTGATACTGTATATGATAATCTCAAATGTTTTAATCGCACGCTTGACTTGGAAAATTTGAACGTATACTTAGTGAGTTGATCCGACAATCAAACGAGTAACAAATATCCTGTGTCACTCCAATCGAACTCAAAATCATAACTGAATCTTAATCCATGCCAAACTCAACTGTGTTGTTAGTTATGAAATAAATTTGGTAATTTCTTAGAAATATTATAGGAATTCTACCATTTGTAACCTTATACCCTCTGATTCCTTTTCTCATTCTCACTGTTCCATGCTCAGTTTTGTGTTCATGCTGCTGTTGGTTAGTAAAGTATATTGTACAGTATTATTTGTAATATTGTTAATACAGTACCGTAAATGCAAATTTTCCAGGAAGTTTAATTAACATATCAGATGAAAACAATCATTGAGTGGAAGTGAATTCTAGGGTAATATTTTAGGACCCTATTTCACCTTAAATGCAGTTGATAGACAGTTCATAATAAGTGTTTGTTTTGTCTGTAGGAACAACTGCAGGATTGATGGCATCTATTATCTTGATACAGTATTTGAATAGCAAATCTCCCTCCCTACAGTGAACCTGGAAGCCCAACGATGGAGGATGCTATTCTAATGGGATGTCAGGACACAAGTGTATTCAACCATGATATGAATGCAAACAAGTTCAATGACATTACTATTGTGGATCTTGTAGTAAGTACAGTATAATCATTTGTTTACTGGAGGTTAAAAGTGGGCATAATATAGATTTGCTACCCATATTGTGCCAATTTTTGGCTTGTAAATTAACTTGTTTTTCTAATGGCCACACATTAGAGGTGGCCATGCTGAGGGAAGGAAGCCAGTGGCCTGTGTAGAATCCTGCCAAAGACATTTCTGTAAACAGGGGATACATGACTGTTCCATGCGTAGTGGTAGTGATAAAAATTTTAATTCCCAAAAGATGTGTATACTGTACAGTTTAACATGTGGCAAGTCTAAACAAAATTAAATACCACCATATATGGAGTATGTGCGTTTTTTCTCCCTTTTGTCAATGATTGTAGGGGCTGGTGTCCAATTATTAGAGGATCCAAAAAATTATAAAGTACGTTACTTGTATGAATCAATATCCTAATATATCGCATTAAAATATCCTAAACACTTGGGTCATGTATGAACATTTTATAAAATACTAAAATTGTGATTAGCCTAGGTCTTGGAAGGTGTCTCTGCTTCAGTGTCTGACTTAGTGGTTTTGTAGTGTACATATTGACTACTGTGCATTACTTAAACCTACCCCAGATGAGACACAACTGCATGGGTTCATATGAGATGACCATTATGGCTAGTGATTACTGTAATTTATTCCTTGAAATGATCTGGGGAAATTGATTAACCCAATATAACCCTTAATGGGACTAATTAATGGTTGATATTATAACTTTTCAGAAAGTTACAGCACTAATTTAATACTTTAACTTGTGCAGTACTATTATCACAGTTTTGTTTACCACTGGAGTGTTCTTGCAGAATTCATTGAGTCTGGGTAGTAACAGGAACATGCCCACAAGTCAGATTGGACACCGCACTGTTGATGGACTGATTCGAAATAATGGTGGTGTTAACAATAATCCCTTGATGAATATAAGTCAGCATGCAGTACCAAATACATTCATGGGCTTACAACAGCATCAACCATTAGGAAATCTGGGCCCCTTGAACAGTAGCATCACAAATGGCTCCATGAATTCACATACACAGCTACCCCAAGGTTGGTGAAGTCTTTGTATTTTAGCTTAGCTTGTAATGAAGTTCATTTGAAAAGTTTTTGGAAAGGTAAAGTTTTTCATTTACTTGTGTATGTCTTCTACCTCATATTAAATTACAACTACCGAATCAGAAGTCTGATTCTATTTTATATAGCTGATCACATGTAGACTGTTAAATTAGCAGATTCCTGTACTGTATTCTAGCAGTGCACTGTGGTTCTGGGTGTATTAACTAAAGGAGCATAAGAATTTGCTGGCATACAAATTATGTACTGTAATTGTGGGTCTTGGATGTCTGCCCCACAAGGTTGAAGCCACAGGTCCAGGGAACAGAGGGCAAGTTTTTTCAGAGAATTGTGAACTCTTGGAACAATCTGCCTGAGTGTGTTTTGTGATTTGTTGCATTAGCATTGTAAATAAATTAGCTACAAACAATTTACCAGTAATCATAAAGTAATTATTTCTATACCATAGTAGTTGTAGAACACTTTTTTTTTTTTTTTACTCTTAATGAAAATGCTCATACTGTACATCTTCATTATTCCATGCGATTGCAACATGAACTTTATTCCGTTATAAAACTCACACATTTAGGACAAAAATAGTTAAAGGAAAGTTGTGAAAAAAGCATTTCACAAATAGCGGTGTAAATTTTGTGTTCTGATGAGTGTACCCAGGCTGAGAACAGATCATTCATTTTTTTCCCTCTGGGCACAAAAGATAATTATACATATTGACTCCTAGAACTGAATGTTGAAGGGCCAGACAAACTATCACTTCTGCTAGAAGGGCTAAGGACACTGGGATGGGCACCAGAAGGTGCCACATAGTGCGATATCTTTGTACTTTGTTTTCCCACTCCTCTACCCTCTCCAGCAACAGATGTGGTTCAAAACTGAACACTTTTATAAATGAAATCACTGATGTGCGAGAAATCAGCATAAGGTGAAAGAAAATGCATGGAAAAGTAGTCAAGGTTATCCTAAGGGGCGACCTAATTGAGATGTATAAGCATCTTAAGGGGCACTACTCAGTCGAGTGTCCTTACTTGGAGCTGGCGGACACTCGCCCTACAAGGGTCACAGCTCAAGATTGAAGAAGCCGCAAGTCAAGAAAACTGTGAGGGCAAATTTTTTTGTAGTGAGAGTTGTGAACTCTTGGAACAATCTGCCAGAAAGTGTTGACGGCACCAAGTGTGAGCTCTTTCAAGATCAGACTTGACCAACACTGGAGTGGGTTCAGGTACATTGAGGAGCCGGTGCATGCCCAGTACCTGTCAACAGTGCGTAACAGAGCCAGTACATGCCTAGTACTTGCCAACAGTGCGTGACAGACATGACCGATCGCCCAAGCGGCTAATGAGTCGATCAGCGGTGAAGAGGATAAAGGTAAAGTAATATCCTGAAGTAAAAGGGTCCTTTAAACACAAATTGGGAGACCGGTGTGGTGGACTTGGAGTGCAGTCTACATAGTTGCCAGTTAACGCTGACGTGGCCAAGTGTGCGTCTTGTCTATCTAGTTCAGGGGGTGTCAAACTCGTTTGCCAAGGCGGGCCAGATTTAATATGAGTACACAGTATGTGGGCCAAGTAACATAATTATGAGCACTTCGCAATCACCACTTAGGTGAGTGGTACGACAAAATGAGAAAGGCGGATTTAGTCTGCGCTCGTGCGAAACCCTTAAAAACAAACAAGTAAAGTGTTTACTTACCTTGATCAATCTTATTGTTTGCTACTACTGCTTCCTGATAATTGGCACCTCTTGGTATGGACCAGTGCATCAAAGTTTGGCACTAACGACTGAGCTGTAGCAACCTTCAGTATTGAATTAAGGTGTGCATCAGTAAGTTGAGACCGAAGCTGACTTGTTCATTACAAAAAAGAGTTGTTCACAGACATGTGTATTTCCGAACATTGACTTAATCTTAGAGGCAAAACATTTAATCCTGGGATAATTTGGTCCAAAATATTGATAAAATGTGCCAACATCAGCATTCGAAAACTCGCTCCTTTACACGGGTAAGGCTGGAGCAGCAAATGGGCCGCGGGCCGCATGCAAGAGTGTGTCGGGCCGCATGTTTGACACCCCTCATCTAGTTCATACGAAAACAATTATTTTTTTTACTTGCGCAAATTTACGTATGAAAACCCTAATGCAATAATTTATATCATAGGCAATTTTGTGCTTGAAAACTCCAAGAGTGTTGATTCATTCATTCAAGCTCTGTCCCTTATTGGGAGGATCCCCTTAATGGAAGGGGTTTTCTTTTATCCTGTGTAGCCATAAAATAGTACTGTAAAATAAAAATTTCACAATTTCAGACATCATTACCTATATCTTATGGAAATGAATATTTTACAGTATAGAGAAATGCACAACTTACTTTAATTATGGGGCTTCAGTACTTGTACTTCATTATTGCCTAGCATAAAGATGGCACTGTAACAGATACTGAAGATAATGCACAAAGTTCATTTTCATGACGTAGTCAAGCAACACGCTGATGCTGATGCATAACTACATTCAGCTTGCATTACTAAAATTTTCTCTAAGCGCACTTAGTTTAAGAAAAATCATAAATTCCTATTTTCGGTGCATACTCATCTGATGTTTAGATAATAACCTGTCTAATGGTAGACTCTGCTGCCATATGGCATCACAAAAATTGTGACCAAGTCCCAGGTTGCTGATCTGACTTAATGCCTCATTTACACACAATTGTAGGGTCTCAATTGTTTCTCTTCCTACTGACAACACAACATGCATACAGTATATTTTCTCATTCTTGATTTCTTTTTCTTTTTTTATTTGTTTATTATTTTTAGTATATTATTTATATTTTTAGTACAGGTATTGTTATTAGTTTTTGAATTATAATAATAATAATAATAGTAGTATTTATTATTATTATTATTATTATTATTATTATTATCATCATTATCATCATCATCATATTTTTGCCCCCCAGGCTCTGATGTGGGTCAGTGACCTGTTCCCTGGTGGGCTGATAACCGTAAAAAAAAAAAAAAAAATCAGCTCTGCCGAGTTATATAATCTTGATGCTTGGAAGATCCTTGTGTTGTTGTATTAACTGTATTTGTTGGGCAGGTGAAAATGTCTTGAGAGGTAGTGGATAGCTGATTAGCTAAATGTTGACACAGAAATCAGTCATAACTTTTCATACCCTGTGGTATTTAGTTATCTAACAGAATGGGTAGGATTTGAAATGAAGTTTAGACCATTATGTTAATACAGGTAGTCCTTGCATAACATTGGGTATGTACAGTATTTGGGAATTACGCCTTAACGGAATAAGCTCGCCCTCCTCTTTGATTTTGTAAGAATGCACAGCTGAGTAACATTTTGGTTACGTTTCCTCTATAAACCTAATAAACCTAAATAGTATTTCCAGGGAGTTACTTTTTACTTTGTCTACTTGCTTGCTTTTGAAGGTATGGTACAGTACTGGTACTACATTAAGTACACATCTACTTAAATATTTCTTCCCCAGTAACAGTACTTCATTTTCATTAATACTTGGTCCACCCTTGCACACACACTAAATAATGGTCCTTGTAATCATACCTATGAAAGTATCCAGGTACGAACCATGTCATTAATTTATAGGAGTTCTTCCAATTGATGAAGAAAGCTCTCCAGTAACCATAACTCTTTAATTTATGTCCATCCTTAGATGGGCCTGTTACTTCATCTCGACACCCAGTCCTACCTCGGCTGGCCTTTATGCTTTACATATTTTACTTTATCCTTCTCGTAGTTTCCTAGACCATCTCGAGTATGCGTAGTTTAAATCTAAATATAGTACAATATTCTTAACTTGTGATTTTTAGTATTTAATCAGTAATATTCTTGAGAATTTTTTTTACCAGAAATGTCCCTCAGGGATTTAAACCCTATTTATATTGTTTGTACAATACATTACTGTGGTTAAACCTGTGTTCACTGGACAGTTTCACTTAATGTCACTATTTTCAGGAATGCATGTCTTAACATACAGTAGCCAGGTACACTTGTACCATGTTATTGCATTGAGATGTAGGAAAACCATTTTTTTGCTGATGTACTTCTGTGCCATACTTCATCTTCGCCACTGATCGGTTTATTAGCCACTTGGGCGGTCAGTCACATCTGTTATGCACTGTTGGCAGTTACTGGGCATGTATCAGTTCCAGCGTGTATCTGGACCTGTACCAGTGTTAGTCTAGTCTTGAATAAGCTGCTGACACTTGATGCCATCACAGTGTACTCTGGCAGATTGTTCAGAGTTCACAACTGTCGCTCCAAAAAAGTTTGCCACAATATTTTTCTGTACTTGTGGCTGCTTCAACCTTAAGCTGTGATCCCTAGTGGGGCGGGCATCAACCAGTTCTGAGTATGAGCACACTACAGGGGTAATATCCTCTGAGGTCTTAATAAATTTAATAAAGCTGCACCTTGCTCTTCTTAGTCTGTTTTGTTTTGTTTTTATCCTCTTCACCACTGATTGGCTCGTTAGCCGCTTGGGCGATCGGTCACGTCTGTTATGCACTCTTGGCAAGTACTGGGCATGCACCGGCTCCTGAATGTACCTGAACCCGCTCCAGTGTTGGTAAAGTCTTGTCTTGAAAGAGCTCACACTCGATGCCGTCACAACACTTTCTGGTAGATTGTTCCAAGAGTTTACAACTATCACCCCGAAAAAGTTTGCCCCCACAGTTTTCTGGACTTGCTGCTTCTTCAGTCTTGAGCTGTGACCCCTTGTGAGGCGAGCATCCGCCAGTTCCAAGTAAGGACACTCGACTGAGTAGTGCCCCTTGAGATGCTTATACACCTCAATTCGGTCACCCCTTGCCTGTCTAGTATAAGTTAGGCAAGTTCAGGCTCTCCAATCTCTCAGGGTAGCTGAGGTGCAGCCACCAGTCTGTTGGCCCTCCTTTGAACATTTTCAACCAACTGACAGTCCCTAGCATATCTCAGGGACCAGACAGGGTGACAGTACTCCAGATGGAAAAGCGCTTCAATCTTGAAGATCGTTATGAGGGACGGACCGTCTAGATATCTGAATGACCTTCTTATAATACCCAATAATTTATTTGCCTGATTTACCTTCTTGCAATGGCCCGAGAACTTCAGCTTATTGTCAACATACACACCTAGGTCCTTCTCACATTCAGTCTCAAATAGTGCATTTTCTTCATCCCATTGGGACATATGATACGCCTCCTTACCGTTGGTACACCCCAGGTGCATCCTCTTACACTTCGTGACATTGAATCTCAGCAGCCATTCCTTTGACCATTCTTGGAGCCCACAGAGGTCCTTCTGCAGATCTTCACAGTCCGCTTGGTTCTTGAGTTCCTGAAATAATTTGGCGTCATCGGCAAACATTTGTATGGAGGAGTGTACAACGTCAGGCATGTCATTTATGAAGCAAACAAACAGCAGGCCCATTACATTGCCCTGTGGTATCCCGCTTGTGACAGGTACGGGTAACGATTTCGTGCCATTAATCACCACACACTGCTTGCGGTCATGTAGAAAGTCTTCTATCCACGTTAGGACATTTCCCCGAATTCCGTACCCTTTCAGTTTGATTTTCAGCCTTTCGTGGGGTACACTGTCGAAAGCCTTGGAAAAATCTAGGTAAATATTGTCGATATTACCACCCAGTTCCAGAATATGGGTCCAAATATCTTGTATCTTGAGCAATTGTGTTAAGCAGGAGTGCCCCGGCATAAAACAGTGTTGGCAATCCTTTACAAGGTTGTTTCGTAGATGTTCCATTGCGGCATCTCTGATAATACTCTCGGATACTTTACATATTATGCTGGTCAGGCTCACCGGTCTATAGTTGTTCGTGGAGTGACGATCGTCCTTCTGTAGTAAATGAGTTGAGTGAACATCATGGTGGTTTCTTGGAGAGGGGATTTACTAGCAGTGCTAGTCTTAGTTAAATGTAGAGGCCTTAAAATTTTTTGAAATTCTCTGCCATTAGGGAGAGAAAAAAGTGATGGGTGGTTTGGTCTTGTGTACATATTTATTCCTGAAGTTCTTTTTGTCATAAATACATTACTCAATATATTTCTTGGTACAGGTGTAGATTTGACCAGTTTGACTCAGCTGCAAAATGCATGGATAACAAGTCAGCTCTTTCCTGGTTTGGTTGATGGATCAAGCCTCTTGAGTGGAGAGTCCAAGTCAGCTGGGCCCCTTGTTAACCTACTGGCTAATCCTACAGATCCTTACTCAATTGAGAAGGCTGCAAAACTACATAGAAATGCTGCTGGTAATTATGGCTTTACTTTTTTATATTTACATACAGTATTCATTGTCAACAGGCTAATGGTAGACTCTTGACAAAATTATGAATCATTTTTTGATCCTACACAGGCTACTGGCCTCTTTCCTCAGAATGGCCACTTATAATGGGTGGCCATAATAATAAATATTAATGGGCAAGGTTGAGAGTAGGAGGGCCAAGGGAGGGATGAATGAAATAAAAAAACTGGGAACCCAGAGAGTTGTAAAACCGTAGAGGATTGGTCAAAACCGCCCGAGAACGTTTAGTGGAGGACTGTGGTCGCCAACCCTCAGATATGAGGACTGTACGACGATTGATTGATATATTATATTCTAGCTAAAAGTCTGGGTGGTAGCAGTATTACCATTACTGGCTACTGAAAAGAATGTACTAGTGTAAAATAAAATGGATTCCTAGATACCCACAACAAAATATAAGACCATAAAGTGAAACATGGTATAGAGCAGTGGGCATAATCATAATTTTCCACCTTGTAATCGATATACAGTATAGCAGTTGGCTTAATAATAATAATAATAATTCCCTGGTTTACAACTGTGCAAGTAAGAATGTGTATACCCTTAATTACATTTTATTCTTGTGGGGGTAAAATTCCTCAATATAAAACATTTCACTTATTTCCTTGGGAACATATCCTTGATGTGTAAGAGACCCATGTATCTCCCTACTTCTATATTGTCTTGGTGAATTTGAATTGTGACACTTGCGAGTATCACTTCAGGTATGTGCGCATTTTTTGTTTAGGGAGGAGAATATGCAGTACAGTATATTGGAGTCCCTACATGTTCTGTGGAGCTTTTGAGTACCTGCCTGTACACATGACCATAAATTGAATCTTAATGCTGTATATAATTATCAGCTGTGTGTGATGCAACTTGCACTTGGAGTGGGCAGTTGCCTACCAGGATACATAAAAACCCCATATACTCGTGTAAGGTAAGTTGGTTTTTCTTGTGGTCGTCCTTGAAATATGAACTTTGATATTAAAAAAAATATTTTTGGCATAACCTGTGAACATTTTGAACTCCACTAACCTATCAGATGAGCCTTGAGTGTGTGGGTGCACATACAGTATACTGTACTCTACATACAAGTATAATTTATATTTTTAGGTGTTTTTGGGTGGAGTGCCATGGGATGTAACTGAGTCTGCACTAAAGCAAACATTTTTGCATTATGGAAATATTCAAGTGGAATGGCCTGGCAAGGAGAACTCTGCCAATCCTCCTAGGGGCTATGTATATATTCTATTTGAATTTGAAAGACAGGTATGTACCATTTGTATTTGTTTAAATTTGTTCTGTTTTCCCTAGATTGTTATAGTTTAGATTTGAAATATGAATAATGTACTTCATTAGGCATTACACTGTTGAATTGTTCGAAAATCCCTTGACTGATATTTTTGGTAAATTTCTGATGACATGACTGACATGCTTGTTTCACAATCATATGCAATGGAGCCGAGGTGTGTTTAGATGTAAAGTTGCTCTTTTTGTGGTTAGGGGTCCATATATTTGAGAGGCCTTAGGCACTTGGTGTTATATCAAGTTTGAGGAGGACCTGCAAGGTGATGAGAGAACTGTGGTGTTGAGTGGAGTATATAGGCGAACTATAGGCTTTGATAATTGAATTTACACACGACGTAATTCATACCGAGAACTATTGCAGAGTACAATATGAGAGCATGCATTGTTTAAAACTTTTGAATGGAATTGCATAAAATAATTTGTTTCAGTTAATTAGGAGGAATAATTCAATTAGACTTGCATTGCTTCACATTCCTTTGCAGTATTTATTGGTTAATACTTTAGTTCAGTAATTGTCTTTGTGCACCAATTCCATTTTGACTCTTTGGAACCTTTAAGATGTGAAACTGTTTTTGCCATCCATATCTTACATACAGTAGGTGATTTATCAGTTAATGTCCACATACTTAAGATCCGAGTTGAAAGAATTGCACACTGTATGGCCATTGTGGACATGTCATTTGTCTAGTCATAAAGTTACCAAAGGGGACTACGGTCAAACCTTGATACCGTTGATAAGGAATCAAAGGAGTTGGGAGAAAAGATAGGTTGCCAGGATCCCCAGGTTTCTGCTCTCAACCCATAAAACTTTTCTGGCCTTGAAACGGCCTACACTCGGTACCCTCACAACACTCGCTCATGGAACAACCTGCCAGAAAGTGTCGAAGGCACCGAGTGAGCGGTTTCAAGACCAGACTTGACCAGCACTGGAGCAGGTTCAGATACATTCAGAAGCCAGTGCATGCCCAGTACTTGCCAACAGTGCGTAACAGACATGACCGATCGCCCAAGCGGCTAACGAGCCTATCGTTGGTGTAGAGGATATAAGTAAAGCATCGCCTTCCTCACACTTCTCCCATACACCTTACTCCAGCAGATGTCTCTGCAACTAATATGAGGCGTCCGGGGCCTGAAGGGCGAACCGACCATTTCATAGAAAATGTGATTTTTCCAGACTCCACCAGAGTACAACCGTCCAGACCTCGTGGTGTAAAAATCTAAAGGAAATTCGACTTTCTTCCCCCTAGCATGCGGTCCAAAGTTACGTGATTCTGACAGAAAAACATGCATACCAGGTCTTGGGCTCCGAGCCAGGAGTTGGGGGAATCATACCATTAATTTATTTCAGAAAAATATTCTCCTTTATCATACATATCTGCTATGAACAAAACTTACAGTAATTCCCTCTTTGCTACTGTATTTTAGTTGACTTTACTGTCTTCTCATTGCAATAAAGTCTTTGTGGATAACTGGTTTAATAGCCCCTCAGAAACGAACGAGAATGCCATGTAAATGTCGCCAATTTGATGTTTTTGCGTATCTACCTAGGTTTAGAGGCATATCATACACGGAAAAACTAGTTAAAAATATTTTTCCTCCCCTCCTAAGTGCCTGGTTTGAGTAATTTTCATCCAAAACCTAAAATTATACAATTTGCTATGTACCAACGGTGATGCATACTATTGTACTGGTGTAAGTATAATATATATTGGTTGCCCATTGTGTAAAGAGGATGGCCGGCCCTAGGACCACCTAGGCATGAATTTAAGGTGTAGAAGCTGTTGTCAACACTACAACCACACCCTGAGTTAACGAGCTGCATGACCCAGCGTCGAGGAATAGTCCAAGAAGACCGGACAGCTCGTCAACTGCACTGGTTAACCATTGCCTCGGAACACGATCCACAAATCGATTTACATCTAGGTTCCCAATTACTGCTGGGTAGACAGGCAAATGTTGTAAAGAAATGGTGTAAAGGAAGCAAGAAAGACCAGATTAAAACTGAATTCTATATACTGTACTCGTACATTTGGCATGGGCGTTGGTCACAAGCCAGCCTCCGTGAAAAGGTTGATGACAGTTTAACTGTTAGCAGCTTGCTGCACCATTTGTATTTTAATCTACTTCATCCTCTTCGCCTCCGATTGGTTCATTAGCTGTTCAGGTGGATGCCTCCGATTGGCTCATTAGCTGCTCAGGTGGATGGTCGAGTCTGTTATGCACAGCTGGCAAATACAGTACAGCACTATATTGATTGCAGAATGTATCTGTAACAGTGCCAGTGTTTGTAAAGTCTTGTCTGGATTGAGCTCTTAAGTTTTTATTTTATCCCAGGTGAAAACACTGCTGGGAGCTTGCAGCCAGGACATAGGCATTGGTGGTAACTACTACTACAAGGTTTCATCCAGACGTATTAGACAGAAAGAGGTACAGTATTGTTGATACAGCACTGATGAAAACAAATTTTGTCACTTATGAGATTGTGTACATTTTCTTTAATACTGTAATAGGAAATAATGGGTGCATATAAGAACTATGCAGTGATCATTGTCTCCAGTTTGCCTTTATGTAACAGGTTTGTACAGTAGTATACAGTACAGTGATATCCCTGTTAGCCCGAACAATTGGTGCAGAACACTTCCGGGGATGAGAGATATCCAGGTAACGAGACGACTCTCAAAGCTAGAAAAATCCCTCCTCCCCAGAATTTTCCAGTTAACGGAAAAATTTTCTCGGAAGTTCCCCAAATTGCTCATTACATTTCTCGAATCTGGAAAACTATCTCTCATCCCTGGAATTTTCTGGGTAGTGGAAATTTTTTCTTGGAATTTCCAGAAAATGCACCTGATTTTCATCTCAAACCCAGAAAAAAAAAATCCCCATCCCCGAAATTTTCCGGGTCCGGAAAATGTGCCCCTCGGAAAATCTTTCCCTGAATTCCAATTCCGGCTGTCGGAGAGTTCAGGGTTTGAGGGATTCTGGCTAGCTAAGATATTACTATGTCATATTGTTGTACCCTTTAATACTGGGAGAAAAAAGAAAAGGGAAAGTAAAATAGGGGCTGCTACATCTTCCATGTAATAGTGTCTCATCTCCTCTGTAACTACTAGTCCAGTTTACAAGTGGATTTGATAATTTAGGGAAAATCTTTCTTACCAGAGCATATTTTTTTATCTTTGACACGTATCCACTCGTTAGCTCTGCATTACTGTGCGATCTGGAGTATATTCACAAACCCAGATTGCATGGTAATGCAAAGGGAACAGCACAAAGAACTCCTGGAGTCCTTGTAGCAGAGGAGGGGGAGTTGATGAGCCGGGACGGATGTACTTGGGTTAGAAAGAGGTCCTTGCCGAGACTGAGGAAGTAGCCGATAGAATAGAGGTGGTTGCAAAGTGGAGTTATGCTAAGGCCTTAACAGGGCCACGAGAGGTGGCGGAGAGTAATGCAGGATCAGAACAGGTTTTGCAGCAGCTAGGGACTCGGAAGTGTGTCGAAGAAATGGCAATTAGCGGACCTACTGTTAGGGGAGAGGAGGAACAACAATGGGAACGTTTCCAATGCAGGAACACTGTATAGTTTTTGGAGTCGCTGAGAGCCAGGCCGAAGAAACCGAGTAGGATAACACACGATAAGATGCAGTTTTAGAATATTTGTACAGAGGTTCTGAGATGCCATCAATCAACCTGTTAAGGTTAGTGCTGTATGTGGAATTGTGCTTTTACTTGTGCCACTTGTGTGGAAGCAGTGGGGTCAAAATTCTCCAATAGTAGCTTCTCCACATTGAGGTAAAAGTCTGGCAGACACGATTTTTTGTTGGATCATGCATGGTACATCTGTAGGTATTGTAAAGTATGACATCAGCAGCTGTAGGAAGAATGTTTTGTGCGATGCTGAAGAGTATCTTTTTACACAAATAATGACACCATGGATGAAAGATTTTGACGACCCTACCAAAACACGAGTCTTGTTGATTATTTTGAAATTCATCAGGATCTGGACAGATACTTCATTACTGTGAACCACTTAATGGTTTTAGACACAGGTGTTGCTGATTTGCGGGTAACTCTTTTTTACCAACCTCAAGTTGTAGTCGATGACAGCAATTGGTTTCGTGATTTTCACCTATGGTCAACTTAGCCAGTCTACCTTTATTGCTCTGTATGATGTTGACAACCTGTGTGCATGTTTCTTTTGCAAATTATTGCCAAGATGTCGGTGATATGAACAGCTTTGCATATGCCATAAGGCACATGTTGGAAATTTGACAAATACTGTGCCAAAGGAGCCTGTATCATGGATGAGTAGATACGTGGAGATGTGTTGTATCAGTTGCTCGACCGTGGTGCCAGATACACTATGCATCACAATACCAAGATCTCCATGCCAAACCTCTGCTACTTGCTAGGGATGTACAGAACTGTACAGCCTAAACAATAAGTGGCTACAGAAAAATATAACGGTACAATATCTGGAAGTGCATGAAGGTTTCCTTATTGTTCTCGAAGAAATTGTCTCCTTCCAGACAAGATTTTCCATGCCTGTAACTGTTAAAGGTAGTAACACCATATGTAGCTTGAAGATAGAGATTGTATAAATAAGATACAAATAAAATTATTTAAAAAATATACGTAGTGTAATTGAAAAGTCCACGTTTTTCAGGTACAGATTATTCCATGGGTGATCAGTGACAGTAACTACGTCCGTTGCCCATCATACCAATTGGACCCAGCAAAAACGGTGTTTGTAGGGGCATTACATGGTATGCTAAGTGCAGAAGGCCTTGCAAACATTATGAATGACTTGTTTGGAGGAGTTGTGTACTCAGGTGAGTAATCCAAGTAATTAATCTAAGTTTTATCCTATGTACAAACTAATTATGGAACAAATATTTATAGTAAAAGAGGCTAATGGCAACACCTGACAAGTTAGTGACCAAGTTAGATGCAACGCCTCATACTATATGTATTTGTTGCATAATTAGTTTGTACAGAATTTTGAGGTAATTGTTCATTGTACTATTTCAATAGTAAATGTTTAAATGTGGCTCAAAATTTTTATTTAGAATAAAAAGCAACTGCAAAGTCCCAAGGCATTTCACTAATCTAGCATTCAGTGAGTCATATAGGGGAGCCTTTTCTATAGTACTGTACACAACAACACTTGACCAAATTATTTGGATTGTGAGGTTAATATTCAAGGCTGTGATCAGAATTTTGATATGCTTTACCAGTTCATTACATCTTCTTATACTAAATTTATATTCGCAGGTATTGACACTGACAAGCACAAGTATCCAATTGGATCTGGCAGAGTAACTTTCAATAATGTGCAGTCCTACAGGAAGGCAGTTAGAGCAGCTTTCATTGAGATAAAAACCCCCAAATTTACAAAGAAGGTAAGACGTTTATTTTTTAGGAGACCTGTCATTAAGGGTAATGGTTGATAAACCCTTGGGTGTCAGGAAAGGTGATGATTGTATATGGATGAGGGGCCCATAGCACAGTTTATATGAATATTTCCATGCACTGGTAGGTATGAGGGTGGCGAGTCACCGAGACTGCGATGAGCCAAGAGAGCGTAGCGCGGCCGGTCGATGGGGGTGATGCGCCGTAGAAAGTAGTCCGTGACGACGCAAAACGACGTAGTATCGGATCATCGGGACGTTAAGAGAATTTTTGGTCTTGAAAATTTAGCGACATAGTACTGAAACAACGTTAAGCGCGGACTTGCTATGTTAGCTACAGTTAGTACCGAAACAACGTTAAGCGCGGACTTGTTATGTTAGCTACAGTTAGTACCGAAACAACGTTAAGCGTGGACTTGCTATGTTAGCTACAGTTAGTACCGAAACTACGTTAAGCATGGACTTGCTATGTTAGCTACAGTTAGTACCGAAACAACGTTAAGCGCGGACTTGCTATGTTAGCTACAGTTAGTACCGAAACAACGTTAAGCGTGGACTTGCTATGTTAGCTACAATGTTATCCCATGCCAAAATAACCGTGTGGAAAAATTTTCACAATTGACACATTTATACATCCATACTGTTAGCATTTGTAAGTTTCCTTTTAATTGGCACCACATCCCTGAAGATAGGGGTGGACCATCTAGATGTCTGAATGACCTTATAAAGACTTAACGGCTCCAGCGCAGGAACAATGTAATAATTTTTGGAGTCACCGAGAGCCAGGCGGAGGGAACTGTGAGTAAGGAAACACACGACAAGGTGCCGTTTCAAAATATTTGCACAGGGGTTCTGAAGATTCCAGCAACCCCTCAGGATGTGAGGAGGCTGGGACAAAAGCAGGGGGCTAAGCCTCGCCCCCTCAGGATCACACTAGGGAGTGAGGAGGAGAAATGGCAAGTTATTCGGCAGGCAAAAAACTTAGCGAGGAATTTCGGGATGTATTTATTCACCCAGAATGCACGGTAATGCAGAGGGAACAGCACAAGAAGCTCCTGCAGGACTTGAAGCAGAAGAGGGAGGAGTCGAGGAGGAACGGGGACAGGTGTACATGGGTTATACTCGGGGGGAGGGTAGTGGAAACAAGTGTGCCGACACAGGGCCAGGGGGCAGCAGTGCACCCCCCACCCACTCAACCCCCCACCCGGGAGGCGGCACCAGCTCAGCCTATCGGACAGGAGGGAACGAGCGCCGTGTAAACAATGACATTTCTAACCACACCCTGCAAAATACAGTGTACTTAGCAAATGCTGCAGCTTCTGAGAATGTGGGTGGAGCGGGTTTATTACTAAGAGCAGAGAACGTTACCGAGAACAAATTCTGGCTTGAATGTCATGTACACTAATACTGACACGTTCCTTGATAAGAGAGGAGTTTGAAACACTACTAAGAGTACACCAACCAGATATTGTAGGAGTTGTAGAACTGTTGTACAAGAACAGGAGAATCGACCCAGAGGAATGTGAGTTCAGTATTGCTGGATATGACTCATTTACGAACCTAACTCGAGAATCCTGCAGGAGGGGTGTGGTTATCTACGCTAGGCAAGACCTTAGAGCCAGCCAGGCGAGGGTACAGGGAGAGGATGTTTTTGAAGAGTCCAAGTGGTGTAAAATTAAATTAAAGGGAGGGGGACTTACTTATCGTCGGGTGTATCTACAGATCCCCAAACTGTGGCCAACTAAATCAAAGGAACTTAAGAACCTTAATAAACAATGCGGCGATGCTCAACCCCAGCCACCTCCTTATCATGGGGGACTTTAACTATGGCGACATCGACTGGAGAAACGAGTCCACCCCGAATGACTTGAATAATCCTGCTACTCTTTTTGTAGAAACTCTGAGAGATAATTTTCTGTTCCAACATGTGAGAGACCCGACACATTACAGAGGGGAGCAAACACCCAAGCCACTTGACCTCATCATAACAAACGAGGAGGGTATGGTGGCCAAACTGGAACACCTTGCCCCAGTTGGCACCAGTCACCATACAGTGTTGTCATTCAGATTTAACTGTTACCTAGTTCAAGATAAGGCCAGGCCAAGGTGCAAATATTACAAGGGAAATTACAATGGGATGAGGGAAGAGATGAGGGGTATCAACTGGCCTGACTTATTAAGGTACAAGAACGCAGACACTACGCTGAATATCATAACTAGTAAAATGACCCATTTGATCGATAAATATATACCCAAGACCAAACCCAGTGCTTCTAGGAATACGAGGGGATCCCTACACATGAACCATGCGGCGGTCGACAAAATTAAGAAGAAAACCCAGAAATTCAAGACGTGGGTTGGGTCAAACGATGAGCAAGACAGGAGGATGTATGCAAGAGCCAGAAACCAAGCAAAGATAGAGTGTAGGAGGGCTGAAAAGGAGTTCCAAAGGCTGGTTGCACGCGAGGTCAAGTCAAACCCAAAGGCGTTTTACCGCTATGCAAAGTCGAAATTGAAAACGCGAGTAGGAGTATCAGACCTGAGGCTTGAAGATGGTAGTTACGCAGATTCTGACCAGGATAAAGCTGAGGCATTGAACAGCTTCTTTTCCTCAGTGTTCACAAGAGAGGATGCAACTAACCTTCCTGCGTTTGAGGACAGACGGTTCGACACAGCACTGACCCACATTGTGTTCACAGAAGAGGGTATTAGAAATAAACTGTCCAGGCTAAAGGTCCATAAGAGTCCCGGACCTGACATGGTGCATCCTAGAGTGCTAAGAGAGCTGTGCAACGAGCTTGCAGAGCCCCTGAAGATTCTGTTTTGTAAATGCCTGGATGAACAAATGGTCCCCAGTGAATGGAAAGTGGCTTATGTGAGTCCTATCTTCAAGAAGGGCGATAGTCACTCCACGAACAACTATAGACCGGTGAGCCTGACCAGCATAATATGTAAAGTACTTGAGAGTATTATCAGAGATGCCGCGATGGAACATCTACTACGAAACAACCTTGTAAAAGATTGCCAACACGGTTTTATGCCGGGGCGCTCTTGCTAAACACAATTGCTCAAGGTATTGGATATTTGGACCCATATTCTAGAACGGGGTGGTAATATCGACAATATTTACCTAGATTTTGCCAAGGCTTTCGACAGTACCCCACGAAAGGCTGAAAATCAAACTGAAAGGGTACGGAATTCGGGGAAATGTCCTAGCGTGGATAGAAGACTTTCTACATGACCGCAAGCAGTGTGTGGTGATTAATGGCACGAAACCGTCATCTGTACCTGTAACAAGTCGGGTACCGCAGGGTAGTGTATTGGGCCCGCTGTTGTTTGTTTGTTTCATAAATGACATGCCTGACGTTGTACACTCCTCCATACAAATGTTTGTCGATGATGGCAAGTTATTTCGGGAAATTAAGAACCAAGCGGACTGTGAAGAGCTGCAGAAGGACCTCTGTGGGCTCCAGGAATGGTCGAAGAAATGGCTGCTGAGATTCAATGTCACGAAGTGTAAGAGGATGCACCTGGGGCGTACCAACGGTAAGGAGGCGTATCATATGTCCCAACGGGATGAAGAAAATGCACTAGTTGAGACTGTGTGTGAGAAGGACCTAGGTGTGTATGTTGACAATGAGCTGAAGTTCTCGGGCCATTGTGAGAAGAAGGTAAATCAGGCAAATAAATTATTGGGTCTTATAAGAAGGTCGTTCAGATATCTAGACGGTCCGTCCCTCGTGACGATCTTCAGGAGTGAAGTGCTTCCCCATCTGGAGTACTGTCACCCCATCTGGTCCCCGAGATATGCTAGGGACTGTCAGTTGGTTGAAAATGTTCAAAGGAGGGCCACCAAACTGGTGCCTGCACTTCGGCACCTCAGCTACCCTGAGAGATTGGAGCGCCTGAACTTGCCTAGCTTATACTACAGACGGGCAAGGGGGGACCTAGTTGAGGTGTATAAGCATCTCAGGGGGCACTACTCAGTTGAGTGTCCTTACTTGGAGCTGGCGGACGCTCGCCCCACAAGGGGTCACAGCTCAAGATTGAAGAAGCCGCAAGTCCAGAAAACCGTGAGGGCAAACTTTTTCGGAGTGAGGGTTGTAAACTCTTGGAACAATCTACCAGAGTGTTGTGACGGCACCGAGTGTGAGCTCTTTCAAGAGAAGACTTGACCAACACTGGAGCGGGTTCAGGTACATTCAGGAGCCGGTGCATGCCCAGTATTTGCCAACAGTGCGTGACAGAGACGTGACCGATCGCCCAAGCGGCTAACAAGCCGATCAGTGGCGAAGAGGATAAAAGTAAAAAAAAATAATGACCCGAGGACTTCAGTTCGTTGTCAACACACACACACACACACACAGACAGACAGACAGACAGTGGTCCTTCTCACATTTGGTATTTTTTAGTGCGGTTTCTTTGTCTTGTTGGGACAGGACATGAGAAACACCTCCTTACTGTTCGTGTGACCTATGTGCATCATCTTACACTTCATGACATTGAATCCTGACGCAATTTCTTCAACCACCCTTGAAGCAGAGAGTGATCTTCGTGACTAGTGTGTCTCATCACTTATAAAAATTTATCAATCGTTACATTCCTGGAATTACCCTCTTATAGCCTAAAGTATTTTAAGTATTGTGCTTTTCAATTTGCCAATACTGCATAGGAAAGATCAAAGATGTGGCAAATGTGCTTGGTAGTTTTAAGAACTTGGTTTATTGTATACAGAGTGTATTTTGTTGGATGATAATTCTTAAGCCCTTTAGGGGTCAAGTGTCAATAACTTGTAATAAATCTGTCAAACGAATTATCATCTCTAAAGGATAATAATTACTATCCTTCAGGCTGTCTTTATCAGATCAAGTGTTCATGAGAAAGGAAGATTAAAGTTTAACTGTTTGACACGTTGGTCACTGAATAGCTATTTTCTTCGTAAGCATTACTTCTCCCATGCAAACTGAAGTGGTCCGTCCACTTTACCATTCCTCTCCACCTCATCACTTCTGCCCCCCCCCCCTCTCTCTCTCTCTCTCTCTCTCTCTCTCTCTCTCTCTCAATATAATTGTGTAATGTCCGAGAGTTTATTCATGACTTTTACCTTCTATTTTTGTGGTGTTGACACGATTTGTTTTTGGAGGGTTTAAGTCCCCTTTTTGTGCTGTGATCCTTCAACTAATTTGTATGTTTTTAATTATCGACAAGTTGTATTTTGTCTCTAATCCCACAAATCGTCATAGTTTAGCCACTATATATGTCCAATATAAAACACATCGGGACCATTGGTGTAAGTTATTCAATCTACATCGTAAGATCTCTTCCTGTACATCAAAGCCAGTATATCCTGGTATCAATAGGAGCAGGTCTGTTAAACAACTTGCTTAACATTCGTGTTCTATGTACAGGGTATTTATCACAATATATCAACTCATATGTATAGAAACTTAATGCACTGTTCAATTGATGTATGGATAAATGAATACTGTAACATGGAATGTAATAACTGGCTTTTTCAACCTAAATAGTGACATGAACATAAATTTCCACAACCACCCTGCAATTCAGTGTGGCTCAGGTATGCTTGCCTTGGGGCCCCTTTGCAGACTCGCTGCTTATCTTGATTAAATAATCAGCAGCAGTTTGAGATGTGGGTTATGTTGACCACATTATTTTGAGGCACATTTATTACTTTGCAGGTGCAAGTGGATCCATACCTTGCCGATTCGCTCTGTCAGTTGTGTGGCATGCAGCAAGGGCCATACTTTTGCCGTGATGAGAACTGCTTCAAGTATTTTTGTCGGTCTTGCTGGCAGTTGACCCACCCAATGGATGTTCATGGAGGCCATAAGCCAATAATGAGAAACTCAAAGCTGCGCACTCAAACAACTCTCAGTAGAGTTATATAACTGCTATCACAATGTGCAGTATTTAAGTTACAAGGAAAGAATTTTAGTTTAGTAGCCTCAAAGCATACATTGTTTCTCTTGATGTGGAATTGATTATTTAACGCAATAATTTGTGTACTTGGCATTCCAGCTGTGGATGTGCTCATCATTTATGGTGAAACTGATTTTAGTGATTTTTTTGTATGCTTATATGATGTTGCTCGACCTATTGCCATTGATGAAGTTAACGGTGTTGGTTTAAGGTTTTACTATGTGATATTGGCATTTGGTACTGGACTATGAAGATTTTCATATTTGGAAGCCAGCAGCATTTACTAGGTTATTTCCGAGTACTTTTAGATACTGCATAAATGTTATTAGTATCATCCCCAGCATTTTAACATATAATTGTGTTTAAAGCTGTAGAGAAAAACCTTATGGCTCTGCATTATTTTAACATTGAAACCTCAGGGTTTTAGTGCAGTCTAGCAGAGCATAGTTTTATATAAATTTCAGTTCTTATTTGTGTTGGGCACAAAACTGAAGGAAGTGCAACCACACAATTTTAGTTCATTTAAGTCCTTAGTAAAAAAAAAAAAAAGGCGGGGGGGGCAAAGGATTGAATTGTTTTGGCCAAGAGTACCAGAACGTGGTCCATATTTTAAAACAAATTTTCATAATACAAGTAACATGTTTTTATGGGCATGCCAGTTGGGAAAGTTAAGAATTACATAAGGTGAAGATCAAAGTTCAGCCTTCAACAGTCGTTTCACTTGTTTGAAAAGCGACAGGGTCACAGATGAAGGACCAGGAGAAAGAAATGTAGGTAAATTGTAATGGAGTTGGTACTGGCTAATGTGTAAGGTGTATAGGTGGGATTGATTTATTTGACTTGAGAAAATTATTAATTTTACATCTTTTTAGGGAATATTCTATAGAGAATTTGTGTAGGTTTGTGGGTGTTGGCTAATTTTTTAGCACTGATCTTAATTTTGGACCATTGAGTGGAAATATTACTATCTTTAGACTTGAGGACTTTTACTTTTGTGTGTGGGAGATTAATTCTTCTAATTTCTGCTCGGGTGGTCTTGTTTTAGCACATTACTAACTTTTACTTTAATGATGGTTTCTTATTACAAATTTGTAAATTTTGGCAGATCTGTCAAAATGGGTGTTTGAGTTTAGATTTATTTTACATTCTGCTGATGCTTTTCCAGAAGTATTTTACCACATGATGAAATTTTGGGGATTTTGATAGTTGAAAAAAAGAACTTTAATTGTACTTTGGGTTACTGTCTTTTTACTTGATGAGTCTTCAATTATAAAGGATTTGATCAATTGAAATTACATATGACAAATATTTTTAAATAAAGGTGTATGTATCATGTTGAAGAACATGTAATTTTAGATAAATTTTGTTGACGACCTGGTATGTTTACGGACTACTCTTCTACACTTCTCCAAATTGTTCCTTATGAAAGATCCCTTGCTTTTAAGTATGGGACTGATATGGTAATTAAAAAGTAGCAAAACGGTTACTCTGCTGTTACCGGGAAATTTGTTTGTTTTTGTTTTGAGGTTTTGTTTCTAAAATGTTTGTTTAATTTGGGGGAATACATTATTTGGCACTGTATATTGTTTTCTTGGCCCTGCTTAGATAGGTCTTTTGATTTCATTTAGGTATTTTGCACACTTATTTGGTACTAAATTATAGCTGACTGGGGATGAGTCACATTAACTGAACAACCCTGCATCCTAGCAGTTCCACAACTGACAAAAACTATCTTGTGCTTGTTAGACCTCACCTGGGTTATGCAGTTCAATTCTGGTCACCATATTAGAATGGATATAGAATCCTTAGATAGAATTCAGAGGAAAATGACGAAACTAATCCCAGGTATTAGGAACCTTGAGTACAGAGACGGGTTAAAGCATCTTAATTTGCACTCCCTCGAGAGCTGTAGAGTGAGGGGCGATATGATAGAGGTGTATAAATGGAAGGCACGGCTAAACTATCCAACCCTGAGTAAACTCTTAACAATGGTTTTAAATTGGACAAATTTAGATTTGTTGGGAAGTAGGTAAATGTTCATTTGGAAATGGAGTAGTGGAACAAGTTCTCAAACAACATTAACTCGATAAGCTGGATAGCTTCAAACATAGGTTGAATGGATATATGAATGATAGGGGGTTGGGTGTAAATGGAACTGCCCAGTATGGGCCAATAAGCCTGCTGCAGATTCCTCTATTCATGTTTTTATTATCAAGACCATCAGTCTTGGTGTAGATTACAGTATTCATCAACCCCCCTTAAATTTTATTGCTTATTCAATTAGCATGGAGTATGTGGTCATTCAAGACCAGATTTGACCAACACTGGCATGGGTACAGATACATTCTGGAGCTGGTACTTGCCAACAGTGTAGGACACTTGACCACTGGTGGTTGGCTGGTGCCGTACCATCACCATGGTGTGTCCCAGGAATAATCGCCTGACAGTTAAAGGGAAGAGCATAGTGTTGTGTACTATAATAATTGCTGCTATGTGCAAAAAGAAGAACCAAATGCAGAAAAGGGAATGGTGCAAAGAGTGGTTAGGTCGAAGAAAAGTATTGTGAAGTCATGCCACGATTTTACGGGAACTGCTCACTTCAGTATAGAACGAGGATATCAAAACAAAGTTTGTCTCCCATAATACGTGCAACTTGTCAAGCCATGGTTGAAGTACTCAAGGAAGATTACTTGCAGGTGAGATTTGTAATACATAAATTTTCATTGAATTATGTTAGAATTATGATATACATAGACAGGAAGCTATGGGACTAGAGTGAGGAGAGCGGCAGGAACGAAGAACACCCACGAATGTCCTCATTACATAATACATTGCATAAGCTTATTTGGTTATACACTGGACATCTGGACCGAGCGGGGAACATATACGTTTCACATTTGCAGTACTTAAAGTCGTCTCTCCATATCCGGCAGCAAACCACCAGGCAGGCGGACCATGATTTCCCTCGACGACGGGCACTCCCTTGGTTTGCCTGCCAATTTTGCCCGATAACTGGCGTTTAGCGCGTGCCCGCCGGGCACTGCTCGATCTTGTGGACGGGCCTTAAAATTAACTAATTCCAATAAAATTAATTAATATTGGAGTTAGTTAATTTTACTGCCACACCAGCCCGTTAAGTACTGTACTCCTGTGTCCCTCAGGACTTTTTTAGTTTAAGGTTGAAACAGGACGACCTTCAAGGGAAGATGATGTTCAATAATACGGGCGTAAAAGCATTTATAAAGGTCTTAAGGTGGAACCTCAAAAGTGGTACAAGGTAGTGTGGATTTGTGCTTTAGTACTGGTTTACTTTTACTTGTATCCTCTTCACCACTGATTGGCTCGTTAGCCGCTTAGGCGATTGGTCACCTCTGTTCTGCACTGTAGGCAAGTACTGGGCATTCACCGGCTCCTGAATGTACCTGAACTTGCTCCAGTGGTGGTCAAGTCTGGTCTTGAAAGGGCTCATATGCTGTGCTATCAACACTTTCTGGCACATTGTTACAAGAGTTCACGACTCTTGCTTGGGAAATAGTTTGCCCTCTCAGGTTTCTGGTATACTGCGCACATCATTGTCATAAATAAAAACCCCATTTAATTCATATTACGCTATATAACATTCAAATCCACCGCGCTTGTAGAATCACGGGAAACACTGTTAAAAGATAACTCACCTACTCAATGTTACTAGACCATGTGTTGTATTGTACCCAGGTACAGTTATATCATATTAATTGTATGTATTCATAGCATTAAGGAGAACTCAGGGTATCCATAAGATGAATGTTAAAGTCCAGTTGAGCCGGGCTAGTGTACTGTAGGACTAAGTGTAGATCATGGTTTGAAGGTCATACTATTTACGTCTGTGAACGTGTAGCGAACATAACTTCCACAGATATCATGAAAATACATGAGAACAATGATCTGGATAAAGGTATCAGAACTATGTGAAGTGTTGGAAGTGATCTAGAAACTATGCTTCAAAAAGAATATCTTGTATACCCACGCCATGAAAATACGACGCTAGGCTTTGTTTGGGTTGGCGCCTCGGGTGTGCTGCGTTGATATTATAACCCAATGAATTTACCCACGAACTAGCAAACCAAGACCTTACCTTAGGGTGTAATTTAGGATTAAAATATGTGTTTATACGGCATGAGTGACAATATACCGAATAGTGTTCAGGTGAGAACCGTAAGAAATTAAAGATTGGAAACTGTAGGCCTACTGCCGCTCAATAACGAAGGCCTGAATGCCGAACACACTTTGTTACAGAGACGCAACACGACCCGATCCGCGCGCCTGCTAGCTATAGTAGGAAAGGGGCCACCAGACTGGTGCTTGCACTGTGGCACCTCATGCTCCCAGAGATTAGAATACTCAGTGGCGTAGCTAGAGTGTGTGCCGCCCGGGGCGGCCCTTGAGTTTGACGCACCCCCCCGGTGACCCTACAAAAAATACATATTGCATAGTGACTCACTCTTTTATATATATATATATATATATATATTAAATAGTTTGCCTTACTGTTGTCAGACAAAAGCCACCCCGATCAAAGTAGGGGGCTTTTGTCTGGGTGGCTTTTGTCTGGGTGACTTTTGTCGGGGGGCTTTTGTCTGTACCCCAGTGAGGATAGTGTCTTAGTATAAAATCGCAATGCTGTGAAACAAAATCTTAATATTTAATCTCAGTACCGCAGCAAAAGTCACATCAATATTTTTTAACCAATACTTTAATATTTCTTACCTTATAGTATTATGTCTTCCAACGAAGTAAATAACTGGATCGAAAACACAAGAGAACTTAAAAGTCGTCTAGCCTCCCCTCGTCTTGTCACGATGGAGACTTGTGGAGAACTGAAGTGAATTGCTTGTAACTGGTGGATTGGTCGGCTGTACATGAACTGATATGACCCGAGACTGCATGGTTTTGCAGCTACTGGAGACGTTAATTCTTCCCTTTGTATCGGCGGCAAGTTAATCCTCGTCGTGTCTGACCTAACACCTGACCCACACCACATGAGCTCACTGGCGTACTTGTTTGAAGTTGTTTCCTTAATCCTCAACAGGTTACAGGTTGTGTGTGGGCGGGGGGGCGCATAGCAAGGGTGTAGCTCATGACGTGGCCGTGATGATGTGGGTCAGGTGTTAGGTCAGACACGACAAGGATTAACTTGCCGCCGATACAAAGGGATGGATTAACGTCTCCAGTAGCTGCAGATATGGGTGATGAGCAGACCCAAAAGTGCCGCCCCGGTGCCGCGGGGCGGACCGCCCCCCCTGCCCCCCCCCAGCTACGCTAGTGCTGAATACTTGCAGCTGCTTAGCTTCTACATAGGTGGGTAAGGGGTGACAATGGAAGTCTATATACAGTACACCTTGGAGGACATTACTCAGTCCAGTGTTCATACTAGGAGCTGGCAGATAGGTGGCCAGTAATAAAGTCACAGGAAAAAAGTCATAATTTTGGCTAGGAAAAAGTCACAATTAACTTATGGTG